CACAGTTGTGTCCGTGTGTGTGTGTGTGTGTTGCAGAAGTTCCCTCACAGTTGTGTGTTTGTGTGTGTGTGTGTTTGTGTTGCAGAAGTTCCCTCACAGTTGTGTGTCTGTGTGTGTGTTACAGAAGTTCCCTCACAGTTGTGTGTCTGTGTTGCAGAAGTTCCCTCACAGTTGTGTCCGTGTGTGTGTGTGTGTGTGTTGCAGAAGTTCCCTCACAGTTGTGTGTCCGTGTGTGTGTGTTACAGAAGTTCCCTCACAGTTGTGTGTCTGTGTTGCAGAAGTTCCCTCACAGTTGTGTGTCCGTGTGTGTGTTTGTGTTGCAGAAGTTCCCTCACAGTTGTGTGTCCGTGTGTGTGTTTGTGTTGCAGAAGTTCCCTCACGTCCCGGGGCAGAAGAAGAAGAAGTTGGTGAAGTATGGAATGGGAGGAGTCATGATCTTCGTCCTCATCGGGATCATCTGGTTCCCGCTCCTCTTCATGTCGCTGGTGCAGTCAGCAGCAGGAGTAACCAACGCACCAGTGATGGTGTCTCTGCAGCTCAGTGTGGCCGGGTACCAGGTGGGAGACCATCAGGCTCAGTGTGGCAGGGTACCAGGTGGGAGACCATCAGGCTCAGTGTGGCAGGGTACCAGGTGGGAGACCATCAGGCTCAGTGTGGCAGGGTACCAGGTGGCAGACCATCAGGCTCAGTGTGGCCGGGTACCAGGTGGGAGACCATCAGGCTCAGTGTGGCAGGGTACCAGGTGGGAGACCATCAGGCTCAGTGTGGCCGGGTACCAGGTGGGAGACCATCAGGCTCAGTGTGGCAGGGTACCAGGTGGGAGACCATCAGGCTCAGTGTGGCAGGGTACCAGGTGGCAGACCATCAGGCTCAGTGTGGCCGGGTACCAGGTGGGAGACCATCAGGCTCAGTGTGGCAGGGTACCAGGTGGGAGACCATCAGGCTCAGTGTGGCCGGGTACCAGGTGGGAGACCATCAGGCTCAGTGTGGTACCAGGTGGGAGACCATCAGGCTCAGTGTGGTACCAGGTGGGAGACCATCAGGCTCAGTGTGGTACCAGGTGGGTGACCATCAGGCTGACAGAGGGTGGTCCTCTCTGACAGCTGATTGGCTGACAGAGGGTGGTCCTCTCTGACAGCTGCTCACTTTTTCTTTTGTTTTTACTTTTTAACTGTGCATCTGGCTGTTCCTACACCCGTGAGGAACTTATGAACATCCGACCCACCGTTCCCATGGACCTATTGCCTGTTTTCTTGGCATCTGCGGCTGATTTAGTTCATGTTCTAGCCAAAAAAGTGTGGGCCCGTAAAAGGGGAAAGCGAGGAGGCCTGCTCGTGCGTCTGAGGAGGAGAGGAGCGCGCACGGCTCTCCCCGGCATTTTTCTCTCCAACGTACGCTCACTGGGCAATAAGATGGACGAACTCAGCCTGCTCATGAGAAGAAACAAGGACTTCGCCACATCCTGTGTCCTCTGCTTCACTGAGACCTGGCTAAATGAGCGGATCCCGGACTGCGCTCTGGAGCTGCAGGGCTTTGGGCTGTTCCGCGCGGATCGCCATTGTGCGCTCTCAGGGAAGAGCAGAGGCGGAGGGCTCTGTTTCTACGTCAATACAAACTGGTGTAACGATGTGACAGTGATCTCCAAGCACTGCTCTCCTGCTCTGGAATATCTTTTCATTCATTGTAAACCATATTACTCCCCGCGGGAAATTGTTTCATTCATTCTTGCCTCTGTTTACATACCGCCATGCGCGGACGCGCGCGAGGCTCAGCGCGCACTCGCAGAGCAAGTACTGTGTATGGAACGCTTATACCCGGACTCTCTGATTATTATCCTGGGGGATTTTAATAAGGGAAACTTGAGCCAGGAATTACCCAAATACAGACAGTTTATCAAATGCCCGACCAGAGAGGAGAACACTTTGGATCACTGTTACACCACCGTGCGCGGAGCTTTTCGCGCTGTTCCCAAGCCAGCCCTCGGCTTCTCAGATCACTCCATGATACATCTGGTTCCTGCTTACAGACAGAGACTAAAGCTCTCGAAACCTGCAATGAGGAGCTCCAAAGTGTGGTCTGATGAAGCTGTGGAAGAGCTGCATGCATGGAATCTACAGACTGGGACCTTTTCAGAGCTGCCACAGATAGTTTGGATGAATACACGGACACTGTAACGTCATACATCCACTTCTGTGAGGATAGCATCATTCCAACAAGGACCAGGGTCATCTATAACAACGACAAACCCTGGTTCACTGCTAAACTCCGGCAGCTCAGGAAAGCAAAGGAGTCTGCTTTCAGGGAGGGGGACCGCAGCGGCTACAAAGCAGCTAAATATCAGTTCAGGAAAGAACTGAAAGCAGCCAAGTCCCGGCACAGAGAACGACTACAGGAGCAGTTTGGTAACAACGATACTGCTTCTGTCTGGAGGGGCCTACGGGAGATCACCAACTACAAACCCAAAGCCCCCCCCTGTGCTGATGACCACAAGCTAGCTGACGATCTGAACTTATTTTTCAGTCGCTTTGATGCTGCCCCTGACACCTCTCCCTCCCCCACCCCCCACTACTCTAACGACCCACCCATCAGCCCTGCCCCCAGCCTAACAATAGCCGCTAAAGAGATTAAACAACTCTTCCTGAGGCTGCACCCCCGCAAAGCTCCTGGCCCGGACCACGTGTCTCCGGCCACTCTGAGACACTGCGCCAGTGAGCTTACTCCTGTGTTCACGGACATTTTCAACTCCTCTCTGCAGTCCTGCCATGTCCCGGCCTGCTTCAAATCCTCCATCATTGTCCCCGTCCCGAAGAAGCCCAGGATCACAGGACTCAATGACTACAGACCTGTAGCACTTACGTCTGTCGTCATGAAGTCATTTGAACGCCTGGTTCTCTCCCATCTCAAGTCCCTCACCTCCCCCCTCCTGGACCCCCTGCAGTTCGCCTACAGAGCCAACAGATCTGTAGACGACGCCATTAACCTGGCCCTCCACCACATCCTACAGCACCTGGACTCCCCGGGGACCTACGCCAGGGTCCTGTTCGTGGACTTCAGCTCTGCCTTCAACACAATCCTGCCATCCCTGCTCCAGGACAAGCTCTCCCAGCTCAACGTGCCCGATTCCACCTGCAGGTGGATCACTGACTTCCTGACGGACAGGAAGCAGCGAGTGCGTCTGGGGAAGAATGTCTCGGACTCTCGGATTATAAATACAGGAGCCCCACAGGGCTGTGTTCTTTCTCCCCTGCTCTTCTCCCTGTACACCAACCACTGCACCTCCAGCCACGACTCCGTGAAGCTGATCAAGTTCGCGGACGACACCACCCTCATTGGACTCATCTCCAACAACGATGAGTCCGCCTACAGGAGGGAGGTGGACCGGCTGGTGTCCTGGTGCAGTGGTAACAACCTGGAGCTGAACGCCCAGAAGACAGTGGAGATGATTGTGGACTTCAGGAAGAGCACTGTCCCCCCGCCCCCACCCTCCGTGATGGACTCCCCCATCACCTCTGTGGAGTCCTTCCGTTTCCTGGGCACCACCATCACCCAGGACCTCAAGTGGGAGCCGACCATCAGCTCCCTCATCAAGAAGGCCCAGCAGAGGATGTACTTCCTGCGGCAGCTCAGGAAAGCCAAGCTGCCTGCACAGATGTTGGTGCAGTTCTACACGGCCATCATCGAGTCCATCCTCACCTCCTCCATCACCGTGTGGTTCGCTGGAGCCACAGTCAGGGACAAACAGAGACTACAGCGCATTGTGCGCTCTGCAGAGGAAGTGATCGGCCGCAGCCTTCCATCGCTGCAGGACCTGTACGTCGCCCGAGCTCGAGGCCGGGCTGGTCGTATCACAGCCGACCCCTCTCACCCTGCACATGGACTATTCCAACCACTCCCCTCAGGCAGGAGGCTGCGGTCCATCAGGACTAGAACCTCCCGCCACAAGAACAGTTTCTTCCCCTCTGCTGTTGGACTCTTGAACACTTCTTAACCTGTCCCCCCGCCCTTTATAAAGTCACTTTACTGCCCATCATACGTCACTTTACTTCACTGTACTGCTGTCACCTTACATTGTGTGCACCATGTGCACTTGTATATTGTAAATAGTAACTGTAACTCTATTTTAAATTTAAATTTATTCTTTAGAAGTGTTTTTTATTCTTATTTTTATTATCTCTTTTTGACTGTTGCACTGAGCCAAAGCAATTTCCAAGTCTGTGACCTCCCGTTACTTACGTTGGCAATAAAAATGATTCTGATGATTCTGATTCTGATTCTGATTGGCTGACAGAGGGTGGTCCTCTCTGACAGCTGATTGGCTGACAGAGGGTGGTCCTCTCTGACAGCTGATTGGCTGACAGAGGGTGGTCCTCTCTGACAGCTGATTGGGTGACAGAGGGTGGTCCTCTCTGACAGCTGATTGGCTGACAGAGGGTGGTCCTCTCTGACAGCTGATTGGCTGACAGAGGGTGGTCCTCTCTGACAGCTGATTGGCTGACAGAGGGTGGTCCTCTCTGACAGCTGATTGGCTGACAGAGGGTGGTCCTCTCTGACAGCTGATTGGCTGACAGAGGGTGGTCCTCTCTGACAGCTGATTGGCTGACAGAGGGTGGTCCTCTCTGACAGCTGATTGGCTGACAGAGGGTGGTCCTCTATCTTTCCCTTTTTGTCAGAATAATGTGATCTGAACATTGAGTGATAGAACTGACAGAACCAAAGTGATTAGAGCCAGGAACTAGACAGGGATTGAATTGTTACGTACCCAAGCTTTAAAATGACTGATGAACACTGATGTTTATCTGTGATCCACGTGTGTCATGAACACTGATGTTTATCTGTGATCCACGTGTGTCATGAACACTGATGTTTATCTGTGATCCACGTGTGTCATGAACACTGATGTTTATCTGTGATCCACGTGTGTCATGAACACTGATGTTTATCTGTGATCCACGTGTGTCATGAACACTGATGTTTATCTGTGTGTCATGAACACTGATGTTTATCTGTGATCCACGTGTGTCATGAACACTGATGTTTATCTGTGATCCACGTGTGTCATGAACACTGATGTTTATCTGTGATCCACGTGTGTCATGAACACTGATGTTTATCTGTGATCCACGTGTGTCATGAACACTGATGTTTATCTGTGATCCACGTGTGTGTCTGCAGCCGCTCTTCACCATGACGGCTCAGGAGCAGAACCTCGTTCCTTATTCACAGTCTGCATTCGACCGTCTCACCAAAGTCTACGCTACACACCCGGTACCTGCTAATGCTACTGCTAATGCTACTGCTAATGCTACTGCTAATGCTACTGCTAATGCTACTGCTAATGCTACTGCTAATGCTACTGTTAATGCTACTGTTAATGCTACTGTTAATGCTACTGTTAATGCTACTGCTAATGCTACTGTTAATGCTACTGTTAATGCTACTGTTAATGCTACTGCTAATGCTACTGCTAATGCTACTGCTAATGCTACTGTTAATGCTACTGTTAATGCTACTGTTAATGCTACTGTTAATGCTACTGCTAATGCTACTGCTAATGCTACTGCTAATGCTACTGTTAATGCTACTGTTAATGCTACTGTTAATGCTACTGTTAATGCTACTGCTAATGCTACTGTTAATGCTACTGTTAATGCTACTGTTAATGCTACTGTTAATGCTACTGCTAATGCTACTGCTAATGCTACTGTTAATGCTACTGTTAATGCTACTGCTAATGCTACTGTTAATGCTACTGCTAATGCTACTGTTAATGCTACTGTTAATGCTACTGCTAATGCTACTGTTAATGCTACTGTTAATGCTACTGTTAATGCTACTGCTAATGCTACTGTTAATGCTACTGCTGCTGAAGCTACTGCTACTGAAGCTACTGCTACTGACGCTACTGCTACTGAAGCTACTGCTACTGAAGCTACTGCTACTGAAGCTACTGCTGCTGAAGCTACTGCTACTGAAGCTACTGCTACTGAAGCTACTGCTACTGAAGCTACTGCTGCTGAAGCTACTGCTACTGACGCTACTGCTGCTGAAGCTACTGCTGCTGAAGCTACTGCTACTGAAGCTACTGCTGCTGAAGCTACTGCTGCTGACGCTACTGCTACTGACGCTACTGCTACTGAAGCTACTGCTGCTGAAGCTACTGCTACTGAAGCTACTGCTGCTGAAGCTACTGCTACTGAAGCTACTGCTGCTGAAGCTACTGCTGCTGACGCTACTGCTACTGACGCTACTGCTGCTGAAGCTATTGCTACTGAAGCTACTGCTACTGACGCTACTGCTACTGAAGCTATTGCTACTGAAGCTATTGCTACTGAAGCTACTGCTACTGACGCTACTGCTACTGAAGCTACTGCTACTGACGCTATTGCTACTGAAGCTATTGCTACTGAAGCTACTGCTACTGACGCTACTGCTACTGAAGCTACTGCTACTGAAGCTACTGCTACTGTATAACATTTCGAAACAGCCTCAGTCAGTGTGTTGTGGCTGTTGTGTGTTGTGGCTGTTGTGTGTTGTTGTGTTGCAGTTGTTGTGTGTTGTTGCAGTTGTTGAGTGTTGTTGTGTTGCAGTCTGCGATGCAGTTCATCATGAACTATGAAGCGTCAGACGTGATGGAGGCAAAGATCAAAAGCGACGCCAGTCTCCTGTGGAGCATCAGCCCCGCCTCCAGAACCGCCATGATCCAGGAACTCAGTAACTCCTCCCACGTCTACATCACCCTCAAGTGGACACTGCTGCGGTGAGGACACATCTGAGACACATCTGAGACACATAGACACACTGATACACTGAGACACACACTGAGACATGTGTGATGAAACAGTGACATCACAGAGTAACGTGCAGGTGTTCGTGTTTAGGAACGCCTCCATCTCCATGAACCCTGAGGCGGTGGGAGAGCACACAGTGAAGTATGAAGACCCGTCTCTGAGAGAAGACCTGGTGCAGATGCTCAAAGGGAACAGCAGTAAGCCTGTGTAAGTCATCCTCACTCTGTCATCATCACTCAGTCATCCTCACTCTGTCATGTGTTCACTCTGTCATCCTCACTCTGTCATGTGTTCACTCTGTCATGTGTTCACTCTGTCATGTGTTCACTCTGTCATGTGTTCACTCTGTCATGTGTTCACTCTGTCATGTGTTCACTCTGTCATCCTCACTCTGTCATGTGTTCACTCTGTCATGTGTTCACTCTGTCATGTGTTTACTCTGTCATGTGTTCACTCTGTCATGTGTTCACTCTGTCATGTGTTCACTCTGTCATGTCTTTACTCTGTCATGTGTTCACTCTGTCATGTGTTTACTCTGTCATGTGTTTACTCTGTCATGTGTTCACTCTGTCATGTGTTCACTCTGTCATGTGTTTACTCTGTCATGTGTTTACTCTGTCATGTGTTCACTCTGTCATGTGTTCACTCTGTCATGTGTTCACTCTGTCATGTGTTTACTCTGTCATGTGTTTACTCTGTCATGTGTTCACTCTGTCATGTGTTCACTCTGTCATGTGTTTACTCTGTCATGTGTTTACTCTGTCATGTGTTCACTCTGTCATGTGTTCACTCTGTCATGTGATTACTGTCATGTCTTCACTCTGTCATGTGTTCACTCTGTCATGTGTTCACTCTGTCATGTGTTCACTCTGTCATGTGTTTACTATGTCATGTTCACTCTGTCATGTGTTCACTCTGTCATGTGTTTACTCTGTCATGTGTTCACTCTGTCATGTGTTCACTCTGTCATGTGATCAATGTCATGTGATCACTCTGTCATAATCACTCTGTCATGTGTTCACTCTGTCATGTGTTTACTCTGTCATGTGTTTACTCTGTCATGTGTTCACTCTGTCATGTGTTCACTCTGTCATGTGTTCACTCTGTCATGTGATCAATGTCATGTGATCACTCTGTCATCATCACTCTGTCATGTGTTCACTCTGTCATGTGATCAATGTCATGTGATCACTCTGTCATGTCTTCACTCTGTCATGTCTTCACTCTGTCACACTCTGTCATGTGTTCACTCTGTTATGTGTTCACTCTGTCATGTGTTTACTATGTCATGTTCACTCTGTTATGTGATCACTCTGTCATGTGTTCACTCTGTCATGTGTTCACTCTGTCATGTGATCACTCTGTCATGTCTTCACTCTGTCATGTGTTCACTCTGTCATGTCTTCACTCTGTCATGTGTTCACTCTGTCATGTGTTCACTCTGTCATGTCTTCACTCTGTCATGTGTTCACTCTGTCATGTGTTCACTCTGTCATGTCTTCACTCTGTCATGTCTTCACTCTGTCATGTGTTCACTCTGTCATGTGTTCACTCTGTCATGTCTTCACTCTGTCATGTGATCACTCTGTCATGTCTTCACTCTGTCATGTGTTCACTCTGTCATGTGTTCACTGTCATGTGTTCACTCTGTCATGTGTTTACTCTGTCATGTGTTCACTCTGTCATGTGTTCACTCTGTCATGTCTTCACTCTGTCATGTCTTCACTCTGTCATGTCTTCACTCTGTCACACTCTGTCATGTCTTCACTCTGTCATGTCTTCACTCTGTCATGTCTTCACTCTGTCACACTCTGTCATGTCTTCACTCTGTCATGTCTTCACTCTGTCACACTCTGTCATGTGTTCACTCTGTCATGTGTTTACTATGTCATGTTCACTCTGTTACCAAGGTACCCCAGAAAAAAAAAAAATCACACGTTTATTGCAGTAATTTTTGTTAATATTTTTCACGAGGAGTTAGTGGACATGTGTGCCTTTAATATGAGCGGCCTTTTTGGGAATGGTTATATTCAAAGTATTAGAGTAAAATGAGTTTGTAAAACACATGCGGCGCAGCGACGCGAAGCAGGAGCCGTAGTTCTGAGCGGAGCCAGAGCAGAGCCAGAGGTCTCCAGAGATCACAGAAGTATTTGGTACTGGCTCACTCAGATTCAGAGACACGCAGGTGTCCAGTGAAGCAGACACAGACATTATTAGTGACAGGAGTCTGCGTCATAACAGTCCACAGTCAGCCACAGTTTACGTCCTCAGTGTGGCCCCGCGGTAAAGAGGCCCGGCTTTTCGGAGTCAGCGGTAAAGCGGTCCGCACATTAAAAGCGGATAGCCGCTTTATGCTGTTACTCACGGTAACATTGTAAAGAGAAGCCGCGGGGATGAGCCGCCACAATGCACGTTTTAACATAAAGCGGCCACCCGCTTTTAATGTGCGGACCTCTCTACAGCGGTGTGCGGCCGCAGTGGAAACATTCTGCGAACGCGAGGCAGGGGACGTGGTGAAGGGCACAGGGGGGTCATAACACCGGGCATGTGGGTGAATGCAGCGGGGATAAACAACCGCGGGGAACGCGGCAGACGTGGCAGAAGCCGCGGAAGAAAACACACCGCTACGGACGGAGATGATGATGATGAAGGCAGAGAGGAAGAAAATCCATAAAAGTGGATCAGAAGTGTTGAAGATCCTGTTGTTTATTGTTGAGACAATCTGACAAGTTCTGAGCCCATTCATTTAATCGCTCTGTTTCTAAACGATGAATTCTGGAGCCTCATTTCCACTGAGATAAACTGTATGCCACCAGGTCTTTTGAAAGGGTAATATTGAAACCAAAGTGCAGATTTCATGACTGGTAAACTATAAGCAGTGCCATCTTGATCATTGAAGGTCTAATACAGTTCCATATGGCCGTGGACCAGTGCTAAAATATTCTATATAAATTGGATCAGTGAATTCATTCCTATCCCACATTGTGTTTTCATACTAAAGATATTTCACGTAGACTGTTGACAGTATTCCCAGATCTCAAAATACACTCTCAAACTACAGCTTTTTGAAATCTATATACAATAAACATTTTCCAAAATGGCCACCACCTTGGTGACGCCACAGTATGCAAATTAGATGACGAATCAACATCCATCCCAAAGTTTGGTTCATACTGAAGATAGTTCTCATTTACAAAATGCCTTCATCTCAAACTACTTTAAAGTGATAGCCTTTTGAAATCTTGAAATCGAAATTGTAAATTTTTTTTGAAAAAAATGGGCTTAGTGCTGTGTGAAAGTCCCTCGTCAAAGGCCTGGGCTCCGCACCGTGCTCCTCTTTGCTGTCATCGTTGCAACATGTCCAGAAGTTCAACTTTTTAGCACTAACCATGTTGTGGGTTTAGTCCATGGTTTTGTCAAGGAGAAAATTAGCAAACAGCACTTACAGTCATACTGCGATCAGACATGGATTTACATTTGTCAGGCTGAATGCTGTGATACAGGAAACACTGCACAGAGATTACCCCTTAGCCAATCAGGACGCAGAACACAATACGCTGGTTCTTCCTGAGCCAATCAGGATGAACATTGCAAGTTCATATACAGTGAAAATAATGCTACAAATAAATCTGCAAGACCGCGAAAAGAGAACCTCTATTCAGCTGAGGAGACTCCGATTCAGAATAAAGAATAACACATTTTTCCTTTACGGAAGTGTCTGATTTGGTGTTTGTAAGTAATTTTTTTACTATCATGTTTTAGATTATAGATTAGACAGTGAGCCAGATCAGATATATCCCAATGAAAATAATGTTTTTGCACTTTATGATGTGAGAATTGTATACATGCATGTGTAAGAAAATTGAGGGGGGGATATCCCCCCCTTGGGCCATGGCTAGGGGGGGACTGATCCCCCCCATCCCCCCCTCTGGAGGAAACCCTGTGTTCACTCTGTCATGTGTTCACTCTGTCATGTGTTCACTCTGTCATGTGTTCACTCTGTCATGTGATCACTCTGTCATGTCTTCACTCTGTCATGTGATCACTCTGTCATGTGTTCACTCTGTCATGTGTTTACTCTGTCATGTGTTCACTCTGTCATGTGTTCACTCTGTCATGTGATCACTCTGTCATGTCTTCACTCTGTCATGTGATCACTCTGTCATGTTTTCACTCTGTCATGTCTTCACTCTGTCATGTCTTCACTCTGTCATGTGTTTACTCTGTCATGTGTTCACTCTGTCATGTGTTTACTCTGTCATGTGTTTACTCTGTCATGTGTTCACTCTGTCATGACTTCACTCTGTCATGTGTTCACTCTGTCATGACTTCACTCTGTCATGTGTTCACTCTGTCATGTGTTCACTCTGTCATGTGTTCACTCTGTCATGACTTCACTCTGTCATGTGTTCACTCTGTCATGTGTTCACTCTGTCATGACTTCACTCTGTCATGTGTTCACTCTGTCATGACTTCACTCTGTCATGTGTTCACTCTGTCATGTGTTCACTCTGTCATGTGTTCACTCTGTCATGACTTCACTCTGTCATGTGTTCACTCTGTCATGTGTTCACTCTGTCATGTGTTCACTCTGTCATGTGTTCACTCTGTCATGTGTTCACTCTGTCATGTCCTCAGCATCATTCAGCAGCTTCTCCCGAAGAGCCTCCGAGGCCCCAAGGGCCCAGAGTCCAAGATGGCCACAAGGATGAAAGTCGGTCAGTGCCTTTAGCTGTAGGAGGGTTCTATGTAGGCTCTATGTAGGCCCTATGTAAGCTCTATGTAGACCTTATGTAGGCCCTATGTAGGCTCTATGTAGACCCTATGTAGGCTCTATGTAGGCCCTATGTAGACCTTATGTAGGCCCTATGTAGACTCTATGTAGGCTCTATGTAGACCTTATGTAGGCCCTATGTTGACTCTATGTAGGCCCTATGTAGACTCGATGTAGGCCTATTCAGGCTCTATGTAGGCTCTATGTAGACCCTATGTAGGCTCTATGTAGACTCTATGTAGGCTCTATGATGGCCCTATGTAGGCCCTATGTAAGCTCTATGTAGCCCTTATGTAGGCCCTATGTAGACTCTATGTAGGTTCTATGTAGGCTCTATGTAGACCTTATGTAGGCCCTATGTAGACTCTATGTAGACTCTATGTAGGCTCTATGTAGACCTTATGTAGGCCCTATGTTGACTCTATGTAGACTCTATGTAGGCCCTATTTAGGCTCTATGTAGACCCTATGTAGGCTCTATGTAGACTCTATGTAGGCTCTATGTAGGCTATTTAGGCCTATGTAGGCCCTATTCAGGCTCTATGTAGGATCTATGTAGGCCCTATGTAGGATCTATGTAGGATCTATGTAGACTCTATGTAGGATCTATGTAGTATTGACTATGTAGGCTCTATGTAGGATCTATGTAGACTCTATGTAGGCCCTATGTAGACTCTATGTAGACTCTATGTAGGATCTATGTAGACCTATGTAGACTCTATGTAGACTCTATGTAGGCCCTATGTAGGCTCTATGTAGACCCTATGTAGGCTCTATGTAGACTCTATGTAGGCTCTATGTAGGCCCTATGTAGACTCTATTTAGGCTCTATGTAGGCTCTATGTAGGCTCTATGTAGACTCTATGTAGGCTCTATGTAGACTCTATGTAGGATCTATGTAGATGTAGGCCCTATGTAGACTCTATGTAGGCCCTATGTAGACTCTATGTAGGCTCTATGTAGACTCTATGTAGGATCTATGTAGACTCTATGTAGGATCTATGTAGACTCTATGTAGACTCTATGTAGGATCTATGTAGATTCTATGTAGGATCTATGTAGACTATGTAGGATCTATGTAGACTCTATGTAGGATCTATGTAGGCCCTATGTAGGATCTATGTAGGCCCTATGTAGACTCTATATAGGATCTATGTAGACTCTATGTAGGATCTATGTAGATTCTATGTAGGCCCTATGTAGACTCTATGTAGGATCTATGTAGACTATGTAGGATCTATGTAGACTCTATGTAGGATCTATGTAGACTCTATGTAGGCCCTATGTAGACTCTATGTAGGCCCTATGTAGGATCTATGTAGACTCTATGTAGGATCTATGTAGACTCTTTGTAGGCCCTATGTAGACTCTATGTAGGATCTATGTAGACTATGTAGGATCTATGTAGACTCTATGTAGGCTCTATGTAGACTCTATGTAGGATCTATGTAGACTCTATGTAGGCCCTATGTAGACTCTATGTAGGATCTATGTAGACTCTATGTAGGATCTATGTAGACTATGTAGGATCTATGTAGACTCTATGTAGGCCCTATGTAGACTCTATGTAGGCCCTATGTAGACTCTATGTAGGATCTATGTAGACTCTATGTAGGATCTATGTAGGCCCTATGTAGGATCTATGTAGACTCTATGTAGGATCTATGTAGGCCCTATGTAGACTCTATGTAGGCCCTATGTAGACTCTATGTAGGATCTATGTAGACTATGTAGGATCTATGTAGACTCTATGTAGGCCCTATGTAGACTCTATGTAGACTAGATGTAGGATCTATGTCGACTATGTAGGCCCTATGTAGACTCTATGTAGGATCTATGTAGACTCTATGTAGGCCCTATGTAGACTCTATGTAGGCCCTATGTAGACTCTATGTAGGCTCTATGTAGACTCTATGTAGGCTCTATGTAGACTCTATGTAGGATCTATGTAGACTCTATGTAGGCCCTATGTAGACTCTATGTAGGATCTATGTAGACTCTATGTAGGATCTATGTAGACTCTATGTAGGCCCTATGTAGACTCTATGTAGGCCCTATGTAGACTCTATGTAGGATCTATGTAGACTCTATGTAGGATCTATGTAGGCCCTATGTAGGATCTATGTAGACTATATGTAGGATCTATGTAGGCCCTATGTAGACTCTATGTAGGCCCTATGTAGACTCTATGTAGGATCTATGTAGACTATGTAGGATCTATGTAGACTCTATGTAGGCCCTATGTAGACTCTATGTAGACTAGATGTAGGATCTATGTAGACTCTATGTAGGCTCTATGTAGACTATGTAGGCCCTATGTAGACTCTATGTAGGATCTATGTAGACTCTATGTAGGCCCTATGTAGACTCTATGTAGGCCCTATGTAGACTCTATGTAGGCTCTATGTAGACTCTATGTAGGATCTATGTAGACTCTATGTAGGATCTATGTAGACTCTATGTAGGATCTATGTAGACTCTATGTAGGATCTATGTAGACTCTATGTAGGATCTATGTAGACTCTATGTAGGATCTATGTAGACTCTATGTAGACTCTATGTAGACTCTATGTAGGCCTATGTAGACTCTATGTAGGATCTATGTAGACTCTATGTAGGATCTATGTAGACTCTATGTAGGCCTATGTAACTCTATGTAGGCCCTATGTAGGACTCTATGTAGGATCTATGTAGGACTATGTAGACTCTATGTAGGACCTATGTAGGATCTATGTAGATCTATGTAGGATCTATGTAGACCTATGTAGACTCTATGTAGGATCTATGTAGACTCTATGTAGGATCTATGTAGATCTATGTAGACTCTATGTAGGATCTATGTATGTAGACTCTATGTAGGATCTATGTAGACTCTATGTAGGATCTAGTGTAGATCTATGTAGGATCTATGTAGACTCTATGTAGGCCCTATGTAGACTCTATGTAGGCCCTATGTAGACTCTATGTAGGATCTATGTAGACTCTATGTAGGATCTATGTAGACTCTATGTAGGATCTATGTAGGCCCTATGTAGGATCTATGTAGACTCTATGTAGGATCTATGTAGACTATGTAGGATCTATGTAGACTCTATGTAGGCCCTATGTAGACTCTATGTAGACTAGATGTAGGATCTATGTAGACTCTATGTAGGCTCTATGTAGACTATGTAGGCCCTATGTAGACTCTATGTAGGATCTATGTAGACTCTATGTAGGCCCTATGTAGACTCTATGTAGGCCCTATGTAGACTCTATGTAGGCTCTATGTAGACTCTATGTAGGATCTATGTAGACTCTATGTAGGATCTATGTAGACTCTATGTAGGATCTATGTAGACTCTATGTAGGATCTATGTAGATTCTATGTAGGATCTATGTAGACTCTATGTAGGATCTATGTAGACTCTATGTAGACTCTATGTAGGATCTATGTAGGCCCTATGTAGGATCTATGTAGACTCTATGTAGGATCTATGTAGACTCTATGTAGGCCCTATGTAGACTCTATGTAGGCCCTATGTAGGATCTATGTAGACTCTTTGTAGGCCCTATGTAGACTCTATTTAGGATCTATGTAGACTATGTAGGATCTATGTAGACTCTATGTAGGCTCTATGTAGACTCTATGTAGGATCTATGTAGACTCTATGTAGGCCCTATGTAGACTCTATGTAGGATCTATGTAGACTCTATGTAGGATCTATGTAGACTATGTAGGATCTATGTAGACTATGTAGGATCTATGTAGACTCTATGTAGGCCCTATGTAGACTCTATGTAGGCCCTATGTAGACTCTATGTAGGATCTATGTAGACTCTATGTAGGATCTATGTAGACTCTATGTAGGATCTATGTAGGCCCTATGTAGGATCTATGTAGACTCTATGTAGGATCTATGTAGGCCCTATGTAGACTCTATGTAGGCCCTATGTAGACTCTATGTAGGATCTATGTAGACTCTATGTAGACTAGATGTAGGATCTATGTAGACTCTATGTAGGCTCTATGTAGACTATGTAGGCCCTATGTAGACTCTATGTAGGCTCTATGTAGACTCTATGTAGGATCTATGTAGACTCTTTGTAGGCCCTATGTAGACTCTATGTAGAATCTATGTAGGATCTATGTAGACTCTATGTAGGATCTATGTAGACTCTATGTAGGATCTATGTAGACTCTATGTAGACTCTATGTAGGATCTATGTAGATTCTATGTAGGATCTATGTAGACTCTATGTAGGATCTATGTAGACTCTATGTAGACTCTATGTAGGATCTATGTAGGCCCTATGTAGACTCTATGTAGGATCTATGTAGACTCTATGTAGGATCTATGTAGATTATATGTAGGCCCTATGTAGACTCTATGTAGGATCTATGTAGACTCTATGTAGGATCTATGTAGACTCTATGTAGGATCTATGTAGACTCTATGTAGGCCGTATGTAGACTCTATGTAGGCCCTATGTAGGATCTATGTAGACTCTTTGTAGGCCCTATGTAGACTCTATGTAGGATCTATGTAGACTCTATGTAGGCTCTATGTAGACTCTATGTAGGATCTATGTAGACTCTATGTAGGCCCTATGTAGACTCTATGTAGGCCCTATGTAGACTCTATGTAGGATCTATGTAGACTCTATGTAGGATCTATGTAGACTCTATGTAGGATCTATGTAGGCCCTATGTAGACTCTATGTAGGCCCTATGTAGACTCTATGTAGGATCTATGTAGACTATGTAGGATCTATGTAGACTCTATGTAGGCCCTATGTAGACTCTATGTAGACTAGATGTAGGATCTATGTAGACTCTATGTAGACTATGTAGGCCCTATGTAGACTCTATGTAGGCCCTATGTAGACTCTATGTAGACTCTATGTAGACTCTATGTAGGATCTATGTAGACTCTATGTAGACTCTATGTAGATTCTATGTAGGATCTATGTAGACTCTATGTAGGATCTATGTAGACTCTATGTAGGATCTATGTAGGCCCTATGTAGGATCTATGTAGGCCCTATGTAGACTCTATATAGGATCTATGTAGACTCTATGTAGGATCTATGTAGACTCTATGTAGGCCCTATGTAGACTCTATGTAGGATCTATGTAGACTCTATGTAGGATCTATGTAGACTCTATGTAGGCCCTATGTAGACTCTATGTAGGATCTATGTAGACTCTATGTAGGATCTATGTAGACTCTATGTAGGCCCTATGTAGACTCTATGTAGGATCTATGTAGACTCTATGTAGGATCTATGTAGACTCTATGTAGGCCCTATGTAGACTATGTAGGATCTATGTAGACTCTATGTAGGATCTATGTAGACTATGTAGGCTCAATGTAGGGCCTATGTAGGCTCAATGTGGGGTCTATGTAGGCTCATTGTGGGGTTTATGTAGGCTCAATGTAGGGCCTATGTAGGCTCAATGTGGGGTCTATGTAGGCTCAATGTGGGGTCTATGTAGGCTCAATGTAGGGTCTATGTAAGCTCAATGTGGGGTCTATGTAGGCTCTATGTAGGGTCTATGTAGGCTCTATGTAAATCCTTACAAACTTTATTTGTGATTTATGAAAGTGAGCTGAGCTCTAAGGTCCTTAGACCTCTGTTCCTGTACTCAGACCTATGTACCTGTGCTCAGACCTATGTACCCGTGCTCAGACCTATGTACCCGTGCTCCTCAGACCTATGTACTCGTGCTCAGACCTATGTACCCGTGCTCAGACCTATGTACCCGTGCTCAGACCTATGTACCCGTGCTCAGACCTATGTACCCGTGCTCAGACCTATGTACCCGTGCTCAGACCTATGTACCCGTGCTCAGACCTATGTACCCGTGCTCCTGCTCCTCCGACCTATCCTCCGACCTATGTACCCGTGCTCAGACCTATGTACCCGTGCTCCGACCTATGTACCCGTGCTCAGACCTATGTACTCGTGCTCAGACCTATGTACCCGTGCTCAGACCTATGTACCCGTGCTCAGACCTATGTACCCGTGCTCCTCCGACCTATGTACCCGTGCTCAGACCTATGTACTCGTGCTCAGACCTATGTACCCGTGCTCCTCAGACCTATGTACCCGTGCTCAGACCTATGTACCCGTGCTCCTCCGACCTATGTACCCGTGCTCAGACCTATGTACTCGTGCTCAGACCTATGTACCCGTGCTCAGACCTATGTACCCGTGCTCAGACCTATGTACCCGTGCTCAGACCTATGTACCCGTGCTCAGACCTATGTACCCGTGCTCAGACCTATGTACCCGTGCTCAGACCTATGTACCCGTGCTCAGCCTAGTACCCGTGCTCCTCGACCTATGTACCCGTGCTCCTCCGACCTATGTACCCGTGCTCCTCGACCTATGTACCCGTGCTCAGACCTATGTACCCGTGCTCCGACCTATGTACCCGTGCTCAGACCTATGTACTCGTGCTCCTCAGACCTATGTACCTATGTACCCGTGCTCAGACCTATGTACTCGTGTGCTCAGACCTATGTACCCGTGCTCAGACCTATGTACCGTGCTCAACCTATGTACCCGTGCTCAGACCTATGTACCCGGTGCTCAGACCTATGTACCCGTGCTCAGACCTATGTACCCTGTGCTCAGACCTATGTCGACCTATGTACCGTGCTCAGACCTATGTACCCGTGCTCCTCAGACCTATGTACCCGTGCTCCTCAGACCTATGTACCCGTGCTCCTCAGACCTATGTACCCTGCCTCAGACCTATGCTCCTCAGACCTATGTACCCGTGCTCCTCAGACCTATGTACCCGTGCTCCTCAGACCTATGTACCCGTGCTCCTCAGACCTATGTACCCGTGCTCCTCAGACCTATGTACCCGTGCTCCTCAGACCTATGTACCCGTGCTCCTCAGACCTATGTACCCGTGCTCCTCAGACCTATGTACCCGTGCTCCTCAGACCTATGTACCTGTGCTCCTCAGACCTATGTACCCGTGCTCCTCAGACCTATGTACCCGTGCTCCTCAGACCTATGTACCCGTGCTCCTCAGACCTATGTACCCGTGCTCCTCAGACCTATGTACCCGTGCTCCTCAGACCTATGTACCCGTGCTCCTCAGACCTATGTACCCGTGCTCCTCAGACCTATGTACCTGTGCTCCTCAGACCTATGTACCCGTGCTCCTCAGACCTATGTACCCGTGCTCCTCAGACCTATGTACCCGTGCTCCTCAGACCTATGTACCCGTGCTCCTCAGACCTATGTACCCATGCTCCTCAGACCTATGTACCTGTGCTCAGACCTCCAGTACCTGTGCTTCTTCAGACCTCTGTCCCTGTGCTCAGACTTCTGTCCCTGTGCTCCTCAGACCTGCAGTCCCTGAGCTTCTTCAGACCTCTGTCACTGCAGTTGCAGACTGTGACAGCAGGAGGCGCTGAGGAGCAGTGGTGGAAAGTGGAGCAGTGTTCTTCCTCCAACTCCTGCAGCAGCATCAGCCTCCTCATCTTCAGTGACAAAGTCAGTCCCTCCAGCCTGGGCTTCCTGGCAGGACACGGGTACGTTCGTAGGATCGTAGGCCTGTGTTAGTGACCCTCTCTCTCTGCAGGCCTGTCTCAGTAACCCCCCCTCTCTCTGTAGGCCTGTCTCAGTAACCCTCTCTCTCTCTGTAGGCCTGTGCCAGTGATCCTCTCTCTCTCTGTAGGCCTGTCTCAGTAACCCTCTCTCTCTCTGTAGGCCTGTGCCAGTGACCCTCTCTCTCTCTGTAGGCCTGTGCCAGTGACCCTCTCTCTCTCTGTAGGCCTGTGCCAGTGATCCTCTCTCTCTCTGTAGGCCTGTGCCAGTGACCCTCTCTCTCTCTGTAGGCCTGTCTCAGTAACCCTCTCTCTCTCTGTAGGCCTGTGCCAGTGACCCTCTCTCTCTCTGTAGGCCTGTGCCAGTGACCCTCTCTCTCTCTGTAGGCCTGTGCCAGTGACCCTCTCTCTCTCTGTAGGCCTGTGCCAGTGACCCTCTCTCTCTCTGTAGGCCTGTCTCAGTACCCTCTCTCTCTCTGTAGGCCTGTCTCAGTAACCCTCTCTCTCTCTGTAGGCCTGTGCCAGTGACCCTCTCTCTCTCTGTAGGCCTGTGCCAGTGACCCTCTCTCTCTCTGTAGGCCTGTGCCAGTGACCTCTCTCTCTCTGTAGGCCTGTGCCAGTGACCCTCTCTCTCTCTGTAGGCCTGTGCCAGTGACCCTCTCTCTCTCTGTAGGCCTGTGCCAGTGACCCTCTCTCTCTCTGTAGGCCTGTGCCAGTGACCCTCTCTCTCTCTGTAGGCCTGTGCCATGACCCTTCTCTCTCTGTAGGCCTGTGCCAGTGACCCTCTCTCTCTCTGTAGGCCTGTGCCAGTGATCCTCTCTCTCTCTGTAGGCCTGTGCCAGTGACCCTCTCTCTCTCTGTAGGCCTGTGCCAGTGACCCTCTCTCTCTCTGTAGGCCTGTGCCAGTGATCCTCTCTCTCTCTGTAGGCCTGTGCCAGTGACCCTCTCTCTCTCTGTAGGCCTGTGCCAGTGACCCTCTCTCTCTCTGTAGGCCTGTGCCAGTGACCCTCTCTCTCTCTGTAGGCCTGTCTCAGTAACCCTCTCTCTCTCTGTAGGCCTGTGCCAGTGACCCTCTCTCTCTCTCTGTAGGCCTGTCTCAGTAACCCTCTCTCTCTCTGTAGGCCTGTGCCAGTGACCCTCTCTCTCTCTGTAGGCCTGTCTCAGTAACCCTCTCTCTCTCTGTAGGCCTGTGCCAGTGACCCTCTCTCTCTCTGTAGGCCTGTGTCAACAAAAGTGACAAGTGTCAGTTGGAAACAGTGTCAATAGTGCAGGTTTTCACACAGTGACCATTTAAAGTGACTTATTGTACAGTCTGACAGCGGTGGGGATAAAGGCCCTGCGGTAGCGCTCCTTCCTACACTGAGGGTGTCTCAGTCTTCCACTGAAGGAGCTCCTCAGCTCCTCCTCAGTCCTGAGCAGAGGCCTGCTCACTCCGAAGAACCTCAGCCTCTTCAGAAGGACCTCAGCCTCCTCAGAAGGACCTCAGCCTCCTCAGAAGGACCTCAACCTCCTCAGAAGGACCTCAGTCTCCTCAGAAGGACCTCAGCCTCCTCAGAAGGACCTCAGCCTCCTCCGAAGGACCTCAGCCTCCTCAGAAGGACCTCAGCCTCCTCAGAAGGACCTCAGCCTCCTCAGAAGGACCTCAGCCTCCTCAGAAGGACCTCAGCCTCCTCAGAAGGACCTCAGCCTCCTCAGAAGGACCTCAGCCTCCTCAGAAGGACCCCAGCCTCCTCAGAAGGACCTCAGCCTCCTCAGAAGGACCTCAGTCTCCTCAGAAGGACCTCAGCCTCCTCAGAAGGACCCCAGCCTCCTCAGAAGGACCTCAGCCTCCTCAGAAGGACCTCAGCCTCCTCAGAAGGACCCCAGCCTCCTCAGAAGGACCTCAGCCTCCTCAGAAGGACCCCAGCCTCCTCAGAAGGACCTCAGCCTCCTCAGAAGGACCTCAGCCTCCTCAGAAGGACCTCAGCCTCCTCAGAAGGACCTCAGCCTCCTCAGAAGGACCTCAGCCTCCTCAGAAGGAAGAGGCGACTTTGGCCCTTCTTGTGCAGGGCGTTTGTATTATGGACCAGTCCAGTTTATTGTTAATGTGAACACCCAGGTACTTGAAGCTGTCCACCAGCTCAATGTCCTCCCCCTGGATGTTCAGCAGCGTGTGGGAAAGTGGTTTTCTCCTGAAGTCGATGATCATCTCCTTGGTCTTACTGGTGTTCAAGCACAAGTGGTTGCGCTCACACCAGTCGACAAAGTCCTTGATAACCGACCGATATTCCAGTTGGTTCCCCTCACACACACAGCCCACGATGGCAGAGTCGTCGGAGAACTTCTGCAGGTGACAGCTGTGTGTGTCGTGTGTGAATGGTCGGAAAGAGAAGAGAGCCAAAGTGACGAGCTGCACAGCGGGAGCTGGCGCCGGAAGTGACCCTCTCTGTAGGATCGTAGGCCTGTCTCAGTAACCCTCTCTCTCTGCAGGCCTGTCTCAGTAACCCTCTCTCTGTAGGATCGTAGGCCTGTCTCAGTAACCCTCTCTCTGTAGGATCGTAGGCCTGTCTCAGTGACCCTCTCTCTCTGCAGGCCTGTCTCAGTAACCCTCTCTCTGTAGGATTGTAGGCCTGTCTCAGTAACCCTCTCTCTCTGCAGGCCTGTCTCAGTAACCCTCTCTCTGTAGGATCGTAGGCCTGTCTCAGTAACCCTCTCTCTCTCTGCAGGCCTGTCTCAGTAACCCTCTCTGCAGGCCTGTCTCAGTAACCCTCTCTCTCTGCAGGCCTGTCTCAGTAACCCTCTCTCTGTAGGATCGTAGGCCTGTCTCAGTAACCCTCTCTCTCTCTGCAGGCCTGTCTCAGTAACCCTCTCTGCGGCCTGTCTCAGTAACCCTCTCTCTGTAGGATCGTAGGCCTGTCTCAGTAACCCTCTCTCTCTGCAGGCCTGTCTCAGTAACCCTCTCTCTGTAGTATCGTAGGCCTGTCTCAGTAACCCTCTCTCTCTCTGCAGGCCTGTCTCAGTAACCCTCTCTCTCTGCAGGCCTGTCTCAGTAACCCTCTCTCTGTAGTATCGTAGGCCTGTCTCAGTAACCCTCTCTCTGTAGGATCGTAGGCCTGTCTCAGTAACCCTCTCTCTCTGCAGGCCTGTCTCAGTAACCCTCTCTCTGTAGGATCGTAGGCCTGTGTCAGTAACCCCCATCTCTGTAGGATCGTAGGCCTGTGTCAGTAACCCTCTCTCTCTGCAGGCCTGTCTCAGTAACCCTCTCTCTGTAGGATCGTAGGCCTGTCTCAGTAACCTTCTCTGCAGGCCTGTCTCAGTAACCCTCTCTCTCTGCAGACCTGTCTCAGTAACCCTCTCTGTAGGATCGTAGGCCTGTGTCAGTAACCCTCTCTCTGTAGGATCGTAGGCCTGTGTCAGTAACCCTCTCTCTCTGCAGACCTGTCTCAGTAACCCTCTCTGTAGGATCGTAGGCCTGTGTCAGTGACCCTCTCTGTAGGATCGTAGGCCTGTGTCAGTGACCCTTTCTGTAGGATCGTAGGCCTGTCTCAGTAACCCTCTCTCTGTAGGATCGTAGGCCTGTGTCAGTGACCCTCTCTGTAGGATCGTAGGCCTGTCTCAGTAACCCTCTCTCTCTGCAGGCCTGTCTCAGTAACCCTCTCTCTGTAGGATCGTAGGCCTGTGTCAGTAACCCTCTCTGTAGGATCGTAGGCCTGTGTCAGTAACCCTCTCTCTCTCTGCAGACCTGTCTCAGTAACCCTCTCTGTAGGATCGTAGGCCTGTGTCAGTGACCCTCTCTGTAGGATCGTAGGCCTGTCTCAGTAACCCTCTCTCTCTGCAGGCCTGTCTCAGTAACCCTCTCTCTGATCCTCTCTCCGTAGGATCGTAGGCCTGTGTCAGTGACCCTCTCTGTAGGATCGTAGGCCTGTCTCAGTAACCCTCTCTCTCTGCAGGCCTGTCTCAGTAACCCTCTCTCTGATCCTCTCTCCGTAGGATCGTAGGCCTGTACATGTCGGTGGTGCTGGTGGTAGGTAAGTTCGTCAGGGAGTTCTTTAATGGAATCTCTCGCTCGATCATGTTCGAGGAGCTGCCGAGCGTGGACCGCGTCCTGAAGCTCTGCACCGACATCTTTGTGGTTCGAGAAACCGGAGAGATGGAGCTGGAGGAGGTGCTGTTCGACAAACTCATCTTCCTCTACCGCTCCCCCGAGACCATGATCAAGATGACCCGGGACCAGGACTGAGACCGAAGACCCGCGACAAGGACTGAGGCCGAAGGCCGGCAACAAGGACTTAGGAGACATACCAGGAGGACTCCCACTGGTCCCTCACTCTCTTCCTGGTTCCTCCCCCTGGTCCCTGGTCTCTGATGGTCATAATCTGTGGTCCTTAAATCCCAGCTGTATAAATCTTCATTAGTCTCGTGCTTATTGCAGGTCTTCACTCCACATGTTGCTGCAAAACAAATGAAGTGCGCCCCCCTGAGGCCAGGACCTGCTGTTACATGTGTTTGTATGAAATAACTGAAGAATTAATAAAATGCAGTCCAATATTTAGTCTACAAATGTTCAAATGTCAACGTTTGTCGCATGGAAACTTCATTATTAAACTTTGCAGAACAATCATTTGTGGTTTTCATTTCTGACTCTGAAAAGAATCAAGACAAGTTTTAGTTCAAGGTCTTTATTTTACAAATAAACATTTCATCCTGGTCTTTCCTCTCGGCCACAAACGAACCGGTCCAGAGCCAAGATCCTGAAAGAGAAAACGGAACAATGTGGCGACATCCAAATTCTGTTTTGTGTCCTCTACTTCTGAACCTTAACCTCTGACCCCTAACCTCTGACCCCACTCAGAAGGACTCGCAACACGCGTCCGCCTCAGACTTACATGCTGCAGGTTTGGGCTTCAGGACTTTGACGTTGGCCTCCGCCGCCTTCAGCGCCTCCACTTTGAACTGAGGCTTCAGCGCCGCTCGCACCGCGGTGGCACAGATGTGCGAGAAGCGTATGTAGCTGCAGGGACAGGACAGACGTGAGACACCAGGACAGACGCGAGACACCAGGACAGACGCGAGACACCAGGACAGACGCGAGACACCAGGACAGACGCGAGACACCAGGACAGACGCGAGACACCAGGACAGACGCGAGACACCAGGACAGACGCGAGACACCAGGACAGACGCGAGACACCAGGACAGACGCGAGACACCAGGACAGACGCGAGACACCAGGACAGACGCGAGACACCAGGACAGACGCGAGACACCAGGACAGACGCGAGACACCAGGACAGACGCGAGACACCAGGACAGACGCGAGACACCAGGACAGACGCGAGACACCAGGACAGACGCGAGACACCAGGACAGACGCGAGACAGGACACGCCACAGGACAGACGCGAGACACCAGGACAGACGCGAGACACCAGGACAGACGCGAGACACCAGGACAGACGCGAGACACCAGGACAGACGCGAGACACCAGGACAGACGCGAGACACCAGGACAGACGCGAGACACCAGGACAGACGCGAGACACCAGGACAGACGCGAGACACCAGGACAGACGCGAGACACCAGGACAGACGCGAGACACCAGGACAGACGCGAGACACCAGGACAGACGCGAGACACCAGGACAGACGCGAGACACCAGGACAGACGCGAGACACCAGGACAGACGCGAGACACCAGGACAGACGCGAGACACCAGGACAGACGCGAGACACCAGGACAGACGCGAGACACCAGGACAGACGCGAGACACCAGGACAGACGCGAGACACCAGGACAGACGCGAGACACCAGGACAGACGCGAGACACCAGGACAGACGCGAGACACAGGACAGACGCAGACACAGACGCGAGACACCAGGACAGACGCGAGACACCAGGACAGACGCGAGACACCAGGACAGACGCGAGACACCAGGACAGACGCGAGACACCAGGACAGACGCGAGACACCAGGACAGACGCGAGACACCAGGACAGACGCGAGACACCAGGACAGACGCGAGACACCAGGACAGACGCGAGACACCAGGACAGACGCGAGACACCAGGACAGACGCGAGACACCAGGACAGACGCGAGACACCAGGACAGACGCGAGACACCAGGACAGACGCGAGACACCAGGACAGACGCGAGACACCAGGACAGACGCGAGACACCAGGACAGACGCGAGACACCAGGACAGACGCGAGACACCAGGACAGACGCGAGACACCAGGACAGACGCGAGACACCACAGACAGACAGACAGCGAGACACCAGACAGACGGACCAGGACAGACGCGAGACACCAGGACAGACGCGAGACACCAGGACAGACGCGAGACACCAGGACAGACGCGAGACACCAGGACAGACGCGAGACACCAGGACAGACGCGAGACACCAGGACAGACGCGAGACACCAGGACAGACGCGAGACACCAGGACAGACGCGAGACACCAGGACAGACGCGAGACACCAGGACAGACGCGAGACACCAGGACAGACGCGAGACACCAGGACAGACGCGAGACACCAGGACAGACGCGAGACACCAGGACAGACGCGAGACACCAGGACAGACGCGAGACACCAGGACAGACGCGAGACACCAGGACAGACACAGACAGACACAACCGAGACAGGACAGACGCGAGACACCAGGACAGACGCGAGACACCAGGACAGACGCGAGACACCAGGACAGACGCGAGACACCAGGACAGACGCGAGACACCAGGACAGACGCGAGACACCAGGACAGACGCGAGACACCAGGACAGACGCGAGACACCAGGACAGACGCGAGACACCAGGACAGACGCGAGACACCAGGACAGACGCGAGACACCAGGACAGACGCGAGACACCAGGACAGACGCGAGACACCAGGACAGACGCGAGACACCAGGACAGACGCGAGACACCAGGACAGACGCGAGACACCAGGACAGACGCGAGACACCAGGACAGACGCGAGACACCAGGACAGACGCGAGACACCAGGACAGACGCGAGACACCAGGACAGACGCGAGACACCAGGACAGACGCGAGACACCAGGACAGACGCGAGACACCAGGACAGACGCGAGACACCAGGACACCGAGACACAGGACAGACGCGAGACACCAGGACAGACGCGAGACACCAGGACAGACGCGAGACACCAGGACAGACGCGAGACACCAGGACAGACGCGAGACACCAGGACAGACGCGAGACACCAGGACAGACGCGAGACACCAGGACAGACGCGAGACACCAGGACAGACGCGAGACACCAGGACAGACGCGAGACACCAGGACAGACGCGAGACACCAGGACAGACGCGAGACACCAGGACAGACGCGAGACACCAGGACAGACGCGAGACACGGACACAGGACAGACGCGAGACACCAGGACAGACACGAGACACCAGGACAGACACGAGACACCAGGACAGACACGAGACACCAGGACAGACACGAGACACCAGGACAGACACGAGACACCAGGACAGACGCGAGACACCAGGACAGACGCGAGACACCAGGACAGACGCGAGACACCAGGACAGACGCGAGACACCAGGACAGACGCGAGACACCAGGACAGACGCGAGACACCAGGACAGACGCGAGACACCAGGACAGACGCGAGACACCAGGACAGACGCGAGACACCAGGACAGACGCGAGACACCAGGACAGACGCGAGACACCAGGACAGACGCGAGACACCAGGACAGACGCGAGACACCAGGACAGACGCGAGACACCAGGACAGACGCGAGACACCAGGACAGACGCGAGACACCAGGACAGACGCGAGACACCAGGACAGACGCGAGACACCAGGACAGACGCGAGACACCAGGACAGACGCGAGACACCAGGACAGACGCGAGACACCAGGACAGACGCGAGACACCAGGACAGACGCGAGACACCAGGACAGACGCGAGACACCAGGACAGACGCGAGACACCAGGACAGACGCGAGACACCAGGACAGACGCGAGACACCAGGACAGACGCGAGACACCAGGACAGACGCGAGACACCAGGACAGACGCGAGACACCAGGACAGACGCGAGACACCAGGACAGACGCGAGACACCAGGACAGACGCGAGACACCAGGACAGACGCGAGACACCAGGACAGACGCGAGACACCAGGACAGACGCGAGACACCAGGACAGACGCGAGACACCAGGACAGACGCGAGACACCAGGACAGACGCGAGACACCAGGACAGACGCGAGACACCAGGACAGACGCGAGACACCAGGACAGACGCGAGACACCAGGACAGACGCGAGACACCAGGACAGACGCGAGACACCAGGACAGACGCGAGACACCAGGACAGACGCGAGACACCAGGACAGACGCGAGACACCAGGACAGACGCGAGACACCAGGACAGACGCGAGACACCAGGACAGACGCGAGACACCAGGACAGACGCGAGACACCAGGACAGACGCGAGACACCAGGACAGACGCGAGACACCAGGACAGACGCGAGACACCAGGACAGACGCGAGACACCAGGACAGACGCGAGACACCAGGACAGACGCGAGACACCAGGACAGACGCGAGACACCAGGACAGACGCGAGACACCAGGACAGACGCGAGACACCAGGACAGACGCGAGACACCAGGACAGACGCGAGACACCAGGACAGACGCGAGACACCAGGACAGACGCGAGACACCAGGACAGACGCGAGACACCAGGACAGACGCGAGACACCAGGACAGACGCGAGACACCAGGACAGACGCGAGACACCAGGACAGACGCGAGACACCAGGACAGACGCGAGACACCAGGACAGACGCGAGACACCAGGACAGACGCGAGACACCAGGACAGACGCGAGACACCAGGACAGACGCGAGACACCAGGACAGACGCGAGACACCAGGACAGACGCGAGACACCAGGACAGACGCGAGACACCAGGACAGACGCGAGACACCAGGACAGACGCGAGACACCAGGACAGACCGAGACACCAGGACAGACACGAGACACCAGGACAGACACGAGACACCAGGACAGACACGAGACACCAGGACAGACACGAGACACCAGGACAGACACGAGACACCAGGACAGACACGAGACACCAGGACAGACGCGAGACACCAGGACAGACGCGAGACACCAGGACAGACGCGAGACACCAGGACAGACGCGAGACACCAGGACAGACGCGAGACACCAGGACAGACGCGAGACACCAGGACAGACGCGAGACACCAGGACAGACGCGAGACACCAGGACAGACGCGAGACACCAGGACAGACGCGAGACACCAGGACAGACGCGAGACACCAGGACAGACGCGAGACACCAGGACAGACGCGAGACACCAGGACAGACGCGAGACACCAGGACAGACGCGAGACACCAGGACAGACGCGAGACACCAGGACAGACGCGAGACACCAGGACAGACGCGAGACACCAGGACAGACGCGAGACACCAGGACAGACGCGAGACACCAGGACAGACGCGAGACACCAGGACAGACGCGAGACACCAGGACAGACGCGAGACACCAGGACAGACGCGAGACACCAGGACAGACGCGAGACACCAGGACAGACGCGAGACACCAGGACAGACGCGAGACACCAGGACAGACGCGAGACACCAGGACAGACGCGAGACACCAGGACAGACGCGAGACACCAGGACAGACGCGAGACACCAGGACAGACGCGAGACACCAGGACAGACGCGAGACACCAGGACAGACGCGAGACACCAGGACAGACGCGAGACACCAGGACAGACGAGACCAGACAGACACCAGGACAGACGCGAGACACCAGGACAGACGCGAGACACCAGGACAGACACGAGACACCAGGACAGACGCGAGACACCAGGACAGACGCGAGACACCAGGACAGACGCGAGACACCAGGACAGACGCGAGACACCAGGACAGACGCGAGACACCAGGACAGACGCGAGACACCAGGACAGACGCGAGACACCAGGACAGACGCGACACAGGACACCGAGGACAGGACAGACGCGAGACACCAGGACAGACGCGAGACACCAGGACAGACGCGAGACACCAGGACAGACGCGAGACACCAGGACAGACGCGAGACACCAGGACAGACGCGAGACACCAGGACAGACGCGAGACACCAGGACAGACGCGAGACACCAGGACAGACGCGAGACACCAGGACAGACGCGAGACACCAGGACAGACACGAGACACCAGGACAGACGCGAGACACCAGGACAGACGCGAGACACCAGGACAGACACGAGACACCAGGACAGACGTGAGACACCAGGACAGACACGAGACACCAGGACAGACGTGAGACACCAGGACAGACACGAGACACCAGGACAGACACGAGACACCAGGACAGACACGAGACACCAGGACAGACCGAGACACCAGGACAGACGCGAGACACCAGGACAGACGCGAGACACCAGGACAGACACGAGACACCAGGACAGACGTGAGACACCAGGACAGACACGAGACACCAGGACAGACACGAGACACCAGGACAGACGCGAGACACCAGGACAGACGCGAGACACCAGGACAGACGCGAGACACCAGGACAGACGCGAGACACCAGGACAGACGCGAGACACCAGGACAGACGCGAGACACCAGGACAGACGCGAGACACCAGGACAGACGCGAGACACCAGGACAGACGCGAGACACCAGGACAGACGCGAGACACCAGGACAGACGCGAGACACCAGGACAGACGCGAGACACCAGGACAGACGCGAGACACCAGGACAGACGAGACACCGGACAGACACCAGGACAGACGCGAGACACCAGGACAGACGCGAGACACCAGGACAGACGCGAGACACCAGGACAGACGCGAGACACCAGGACAGACGCGAGACACCAGGACAGACGCGAGACACCAGGACAGACGCGAGACACCAGGACAGACGCGAGACACCAGGACAGACGCGAGACACCAGGACAGACACGAGACACCAGGACAGAGTCGTGTGAAGAGACATTTAAAAAGACATGCAGTGGTTCATTAGTGGAACAAAGTTAATTCTAAGTTTGTCAAATGTAAAATAAAAGTATTTTAAACCTATAATGTATCTATACATGTCATATGCATCTTTGTTAAATACATTTAACACTATCATAGAATATAACCCTTAATAATAGGATACTAAATAGCTAAACATGAGAATTTGTTGATTCATCTTTCAAAACAGAACCATTTGATATATTTAGTATCGTGACTAAGCGTGTTCAGCTGCTGCAGCGTTCTAAACCCAAACTGCAGACTCACATTACTTCATATTTCTTTACCCGTAAATACCATCACCCCTGGCTTCAAACAACGACCTTGGAGACAGATGCATTACCGACAATTGTTAAAAAACATCTGTAAAATGACTGAACATGCACTTAACAAAACCCGGGGCTACTACGTGTATTCAATCAGAAAAGGCAGGTATTAGGAACGAGGGTTTTTGATTTCGGATGCAGCCAGGTGCTAATGCTAGCGGATTAGCCTTAAGGGCTCGACACACGGGAGGCGACCAATGAGAGCGATCAGCGAAACTCAACGCTGTCGCTCAGATCACATGACAGACGGGGCGCGATGCGGCTTGACGACAGCGTCGAAAAGTTGAGCCGATTTCAACTTTCTGGGATCGCGTCGCTGACCTGCGCGTGCACGATACATGCACGAGCAGGAGGATTTCACACGCACGTTTTCGCCCGTCGCTGAGCAGGAGGCTCGCTAGCGATTGACGCTATGTCGCGCACGTCCCATTGAAATGAATGGAGGCGATGCGATGTCGCCTCCCGTGTGTCTAGCCCATTAGCTTTAATAGCTCCGATCGCGAGTCAAACTGGACTTCTGTATATCTACAGCTGCGTGTGCATGTTAGGTCATATACATCATATACATCATATATATCACACATTTCTGACCTGAGTCCTGCTTGTCTCCAGTACGCGACCATTTTGCAGCAGCTCAAGGACGAGAGTGTGATGACGTAATGACTGTTCTTCGTCTTAACTGCAGCGTCTAGTGTCGCAGCAGCGCCCCCAGCGGTTCACAAGGGCATGAGCGTGTGCTGTATGTACATTTGGTTCTATGGGTACTTTGTCCACATGGTAATACTTTCAGTAAGCTTTGGTATTATGGTATATGGTATATGGCATATGGTATTAAAAAGAGAGAGATTGATAATTTACTATAGCTTCTTATCTCTGTAAATGTGACTTACTTCCTCTTACTACTGTCCTGTCAGTGCGCTGCAACACTGACATTTCCTCACTGTGGGAAGAAGAAAGATGTTCTTATCCTATCTTAATAAACCATTGATGATTTGAGTATCCCTAACCCGAAACATTTGTGTATATTTGTCTCCCTCTTGTGGAAACAATGAGCAATTACAAAACACAGACTAAACAGAGCGGGTTAGGGTTATCAGTGTGGCACAGAATGATCAGTAATGAAATATGAACAAAATGTCTTCAAACGTAGCTGCTCAAAACAATGCCTTTAAAACAAAGAGCATTACTATAGAATTTATCTCAGTCTCTAGCTGCATTTTGAAATTGAATATTTGAACATGAATTATGAGTTGAATTCATTTGTGAGTAAAGTCAGAGGGAAGAATGACACAGACACCAACATGTAAACAAGTTATACTACAGACACCAACATGTAAACAAGTTATACTACAGACACCAACATGTAAACAAGTTATACTACAGACACCGACATGTAAACAAGTTATACTACAGACACCAACATGTAAACAAGTTATACTACAGACACCAACATGTAAACAAGTTATACTACAGACACCAACATGTAAACAAGTTATACTACTGACACCAACATGTAAACAAGTTATACTACAGACACCAACATGTAAACAAGTTATACTACTGACACCAACATGTAAACAAGTTATACTACAGACACCAACATGTAAACAAGTTATACTACAGACACCAACATGTAAACAAGTTATACTACAGACACCAACATGTAAACAAGTTATACTACAGACACCAACATGTAAACAAGTTATACTACAGACACCAACATGTAAACAAGTTATACTACTGACACCAACATGTAAACAAGTTATACTACAGACACCAACATGTAAACAAGTTATACTACAGACACCAACATGTAAACAAGTTATACTACAGACACCAACATGTAAACAAGTTATACTACAGACACCAACATGTAAACAAGTTATACTACTGACACCAACATGTAAACAAGTTATACTACAGACACCAACATGTAAACAAGTTATACCACAGACACCAACATGTAAACAAGTTATACTACTGACACCAACATGTAAACAAGTTATACTACAGACACCAACATGTAAACAAGTTATACTACAGACACCAACATGTAAACAAGTTATACTACAGACACCAACATGTAAACAAGTTATACTACTGACACCAACATGTAAACAAGTTATACTACAGACACCAACATGTAAACAAGTTATACTACAGACACCAACATGTAAACAAGTTATACTACAGACACCAACATGTAAACAAGTAATACTACAGACACCAACATGTAAACAAGTTATACTACAGACACCAACATGTAAACAAGTTATACTACAGACACCAACATGTAAACAAGTTATACTACAGACACCAACATGTAAACAAGTTATACTACAGACACCAACATGTAAACAAGTAATACTACAGACACCAACATGTAAACAAGTAATACTACAGACACCAACATGTAAACAAGTTATACTACAGACACCAACATGTAAACAAGTTATACTACAGACACCAACATGTAAACAAGTTATACTACAGACACCAACATGTAAACAAGTTATACTACAGATACCAACATGTAAACAAGTTATACTACAGACACCAACATGTAAACAAGTTATACTACAGACACCAACATGTAAACAAGTTATACTACTGACACCAACATGTAAACAAGTTATACTACAGACACCAACATGTAAACAAGTTATACTACAGACACCAACATGTAAACAAGTTATACTACAGACACCAACATGTAAACAAGTTATACTACTGACACCAACATGTAAACAAGTTATACTACAGACAGACACCAACATGTAAACAAGTTATACTACAGACACCAACATGTAAACAAGTTATACTACAGACACCAACATGTAAACAAGTTATACCACAGACACCAACATGTAAACAAGTTATACTACAGACACCAACATGTAAACAAGTTATACTACAGACACCAACATGTAAACAAGTTATACCACAGACACCAACATGTAAACAAGTTTATACTACAGACACCGACATGTAAACAAGTTATACTACAGACACCAACATGTAAACAAGTTATACTACTGACACCAACATGTAAACAAGTTTATACTACAGACACCAACATGTAAACAAGTTATACTACAGACACCAACATGTAAACAAGTTATACTACTGACACCAACATGTAAACAAGTTATACTACAGACACCAACATGTAAACAAGTTATACTACAGACACCAACATGTAAACAAGTTATACTACAGACACCAACATGTAAACAAGTTATACCACAGACACCAACATGTAAACAAGTTATACTACAGACACCGACATGTAAACAAGTTATACTACAGACACCAACATGTAAACAAGTTATACTACTGACACCAACATGTAAACAAGTTATACTACAGACACCAACATGTAAACAAGTTATACTACTGACACCAACATGTAAACAAGTTATACTACAGACACCAACATGTAAACAAGTTATACTACAGACACCAACATGTAAACAAGTTATACTACTGACACCAACATGTAAACAAGTTATACTACAGACACCAACATGTAAACAAGTTATACTACTGACACCAACATGTAAACAAGTTATACTACAGACACCAACATGTAAACAAGTTATACTACAGACACCAACATGTAAACAAGTTATACTACAGACACCGACATGTAAACAAGTTATACTACAGACACCAACATGTAAACAAGTTATACTACTGACACCAACATGTAAACAAGTTATACTACAGATACCAACATGTAAACAAGTTACAAATGCAGTAAACTGTGGCTTAATAAAAGTGAATCATCTCTTATCTCTAGTATTTACATAACAAGCTGCAGTTCCAGCTTTCATCCACACGAGGGCGCCTTCCTCCAGAGCCCCCCCTCGTCTCTCTGTGTCCTCCCGGGGTCCTGCCTTCCTCCTCCGGTCACTGCTGTCGCCTGCTCCCTGCTCGGACCCGGACCTCAGACCCGGTCATCATGAAGATCTGGGCCTCAGAGCACGTTTTCAAGTAAGAACCAGTCCTTATCACGTAAATGTGCTTTAAACAGCGGCGAAGACAGGACTTTAAACAGTTGTTAGCATGTTAGCATTAGCACTACATAACTTGTGTTTAGCCTGTTAGCATTAGCATTAGCATTAGCATTAGCATACATCTATGACATTTACCTATAATGTTACTCAGCAGCGTGTGGGATACAGTTATTAACATTAAGTGTGTGGTCACAACACAAACCCTAACCTTGAGCACCCGGAGATATCCTGTCACGTGTTGCTTTATGGATCATCTGTTATAGAAACATTGGGAGTATTATACTGTAGTTCTACATCAGACCTTTCTCTTTTTAATGTTTCTTTTCTTCTTTTCTTAAGAACTTTGAGTGGCTTTGTGTTCTACAGTACACTTTGTCTGACAGTGGAGAAATGTCAGTGTTGCATCACCAGTTACACAACAGTAGGAAAGAGATGAAAGAAGTACATTTATTCTGTTCAGATTTACACAGAAATGATAACGGTCAATAACATGACTCCAGTCCTCAGTCCCATCCACTCTTCTAATAAATACATAAATAAATAACATTACTCATAATAATAATAAATAACATGACTCCAGTCCTCAGTCCCATCCACTCTTCTAATAAATACATAAATAAATATTGTTATTAGTGAAAAAAGAAACAGACCTTAAGGATGTGACGGAGATGGAACAAACCCGTATCATAACAAAGTGTTTTTACTGGACACACCACCTCCTGTGGACTCAGCACCTCCTGTGGACTCAGCACCTCCTGTGGACACACCACCTCCTGTGGACTCAGCACCTCCTGTGGACTCAGCACCTCCTGTGGACTCAGCACCTCCTGTGGACTCAGCACCTCCTGTGGACTCAGCACCTCCTGTGGACTCAGCACCTCCTGTGGACTCAGCACCTCCTGTGGACACACCACCTCCTGTGGACTCAGCACCTCCTGTGGACACACCACCTCCTGTGGACTCAGCACCTCCTGTGGACTCAGCACCTCCTGTGGACTCAGCACCTCCTGTGGACTCAGCACCTCCTGTGGACTCAGCACCTCCTGTGGACTCAGCACCTCCTGTGGACTCAGCACCTCCTGTGGACACACCACCTCCTGTGGACTCAGCACCTCCTGTGGACTCAGCACCTCCTGTGGACTCAGCACCTCCTGTGGACTCAGCACCTCCTGTGGACTCAGCACCTCCTGTGGACTCAGCACCTCCTGTGGACTCAGCACCTCCTGTGGACTCAGCACCTCCTGTGGACTCAGCACCTCCTGTGGACTCAGCACCTCCTGTGGACTCAGCACCTCCTGTGGACTCAGCACCTCCTGTGGACTCAGCACCTCCTGTGGACTCAGCACCTCCTGTGGACTCAGCACCTCCTGTGGACTCAGCACCTCCTGTGGACACACCACCTCCTGTGGACTCAGCACCTCCTGTGGACTCAGCACCTCCTCCGTGGACTCAGCACCTCCTGTGGACTCAGCACCTCCTGTGGACTCAGCACCTCCTGTGGACTCAGCACCTCCTGTGGACTCAGCACCTCCTGTGGACTCAGCACCTGCAGAGGGTCAGTGAGGGGCTGGTGCATCTCTGACTGCCACCCCCCACCCAGACATGGATTAAAGGGAAGAAGATGGATGGATGGATGGACATGTGACGTAAAGGACCAGATGGGATCCGACCATCACTGTGTGTATGGTCTTTATGGTCTTTATGGTCTGTTTGGTCTTGATGGTCTGTATGGTCTTTATGGTCTTGATGGTCTTGATTGTCTTAATGGTCTTGATGGTCCATATGGTCTGTATGGTCTGTATGGTCTTGATGGTCTTGATTGTCTTAATGGTCTTGATGGTCCATATGGTCTGTATGGTCCATATGGTCTATATGGTCTATATGGTCTTTATGGTCTTGATGGTCTGTATGGTCTTTATGGTCTCTATGGTCTTGATGGTCTGTATGGTCTTTATGGTCTGTATGGTCCATATGGTCTTTATGGTCTTGATGGTCTGTATGGTCTTGATGGTCTTTATGGTCTGTATGGTCTTTATGGTCTTGATGGTCTTGATGGTCCGTATGGTCTGTATGGTCTTTATGGTCTTGATGGCCTTTATGGTCTGTATGGTCTGTATGGTCTATATGGTCTTGATGGTCCGTATGGTCTGTATGGTCTTTATGGTCTTGATGGCCTTTATGGTCTTTATGGTCTGTATGGTCTGTATGGTCTTTATGGTCTGTATGGTCTGTATGGTCTTTATGGTCTTGATGGCCTTTATGGTCTGTATGGTCTGTATGGTCTATATGGTCTTGATGGTCTGTATGGTCTATATGGTCTTCATGGTCTTTATGGTCTTGATGGTCCGTATGGTCTATATGGTCTTGATGGTCTTTATGGTCTGTATGGTCTTGATGGTCTTGATGGTCTGTATGGTCTGTATTAGGGATGTAAAAAACTATGAATTTTCATGACCGACCACCGAGCCTCATTAACCGGTTGAAACCGGTTAACTGCGTAGTTTAAAATATTCCACGTTCTTTGAAATAGCAGCCATTTCGAGCCGCGTACTTTTCATAAGTTTATCTATGCGTTCTACTGGATCAGAGCTGAGACAGCAGCGCCAAAACCCGCAACAGCTCCGGCACCTTTGCGCACAGAGAACTGCTGTTTTAATCTTCCCATTCTGCTGTGCTGCGGGTTAACCCTTTAGGCGCCAGAGTTTTGACGGCTTGTTCACATGGTCAGAGCAGCGAGTTACACGCCGCGTCTCGCAGGTCTCCGCTAAAGTTTAAAAGTGATGTGTGTGGATCTGATCTAATGACAAGGACCAGCAGCACAAACATGTTTCATGTGTTTGACTGAAGCCGCGTATTTGCGAGGATTCTTTGGGCTGCGAGACACAGAGGAGCGCGACAGCCCGGTATGTGTGTGTGTACAATACATGTGTGTATGTATGTGTGTATGTGTGTGTGTGTACAATACATGTATGTGTGTGTGTGTAAATATAAGCTCCAATGTAGTTCTGACCTGCACTAGTGTGGAACTTTGGCGGTAACAGAGGGGAGAGATGATGCGTGTGGATGTTACGTATGGAGGGGGGGAAAGTGTTTGTGCGTGTATGTGTGAGTGTGTGTGTGTGCGCGCGCGCGTGCGTGGCTGCGTGCATATGTGGAGCGTGCGCCATGAAAGTCGCCCATAGTCTACTAATGCATTGGCGCACACAGCTAGATACAGACCCGCTCGTCACATCGTACAAATAGGGCTTATTAATAGCCTTATTAAGAGACCTCCCCTCTCCGCTTTTTCTTATTTTTAACCGACAGCTTTGACCGGTTAACGCTGTGACGGTCAACCACCGGTTAAACGGTCACCGATTTACATCCCTAGTCTGTATGGTCTTGATGGTCTTTATGGTCTGTATGGTCTTGATGGTCTTGATGGTCTGTATGGTCTGTATGGTCTTGATGGTCTTGATGGTCTGTATGGTCTTGATGGTCTGTATGGTCTTTATGGTCTGTATGGTCTGTATGGTCTATATGGTCTTGATGGTCTGTATGGTCTTGATGGTCTGTATGGTCTTGATGGTCTGTATGGTCTGTATGGTCCATATGGTCTTTATGGTCTTGATGATCTGTATGGTCTGTACGGTCTTTATGGTCCATATGGTCTGTATGGTATATATGGTCTTTATGGTCTTGATGGTCTGTATGGTCTATATGGTCCATATGGTCTGTATGGTCCATATGGTCTTTATGGTCTTTATTGTCCATGTGGTCTTTTTGGTCTTGATGGTCTTGATGGTCTGTATGGTCTTTATGGTCCATATGGTCTATATGGTCTGTATGGTCTATATCAGTGTTTTTCAACCACTGTGCCGCGGCACACTAGTGTGCCGTATGATATTGTCTGGTGTGCCGTGAGAAATTTGTCTACTTTGTCTAAAAATAGCTGCATTCGCTGTTGACGAGCGGTGACTTGTTTTGAACTGTGAGTAACCATGTAATACTTTTTCAAATCAGTAGATGGCAGCAGATAGCTAAGTACTTTGAAACTGAAAAATTGGATGCGACCACTGGCTGTAACAGGTCAGCATTGTGGCGAGAAAGGTAAAATTGGATGCGACCAACAAATGTGTGAGGGAGCGAGACAAGAGCTTTGTGGCGAGTGAGAAGTGAAAGTGATAGAGACGTTTTTGAAAATGAATTATGCCGTTTCTGAACAGGATTAACATCCTCCGCTCTGCCCCGGGGCAGCTGTGGCCGCGTTGTAGTGGTTTAACTATGAAATGTACCATTTTTGTACAACAGCTCTCGCGAACGCACTTCTGAACTGGGTACAGAGCGCAGACCGTAGTCGAGTGGACAGAACCACAGACATGCGGACCGGACAGAACCATGGACTAGCGTTCAGGACCTCCCGTGTCCCTCATCCAAAACTCCTGAATTTAAAGCTCGGATACCTAAATTTTTCCCATGCACTAACAATGCATGTTCTTTGTGTGAGTTATTATTTGACTATGGGCAGAGAGTGGATTTTCTTAGTTTTTTTCCACACAGTTAGTGCCACTTTATTCCCAAACTCTTGTTAATTGTATCGAGAAATATTAAATAAAGCTTAATGTCAAGGCCTGGACTTAAGCATTTTGATGAGAATAACTGTATATTGTGAATATAGGCTGCAGAGTATACTGTATACATTATAAGATAAGATATACTTTATATATCACACAGAGTATGTACAGTATATATTTTTTTACATTAGTACTGTATACATTTTTACATTTTCTCCTGGAGGTGTGCCGCAAGATTTTTTCAGTGAAAAAAGTGTGCCTTGGCTCAAAAAAGGTTGAAAAACACTGGTCTATATGGTCTTTATGGTCTTGATGGTCCGTATGGTCCATATGGTCTTTATGGTCTTTATGGTCTTGATGGTCTTTATGGTCCATATGGTCTATATGGTCCGTATGGTCTATATGGTCTTGATGGTCCGTATGGTCCATATGGTCTTGATGGTCTGTATGGTCTGTATGGTCCATATGGTCTTTATGCTCCATGTGGTCTTTATGGTCTGTATGATCTTTATGGTCTGTATGGTCTATATGGTCTTTATGGTCTTGATGGTCCGTATGGTCTTTATGGTCTTGATAGTCCGTATGGTCTTGATGGTCTGTATGGTCTATATGGTCTTTATGGTCTGTATGGTCTGTATGGTCGATATGGTCTTGATGGTCTGTATGGTCTTGATGGTCCGTATGTTCTTTATGGTCTTGATGGTCTGTATGGTCTTGATGGTCTTTATGGTCTGTATGGTCTTTATGGTCTTGATGGTCTTGATGGTCCGTATGGTCTGTATGGTCTTTATGGTCTTGATGGCCTTTATGGTCTGTATGGTCTGTATGGTCTATATGGTCTTGATGGTCTGTATGGTCTATATGGTCTTCATGGTCTTTATGGTCTTGATGGTCCGTATGGTCTATATGGTCTTGATGGTCTTTATGGTCTGTATGGTCTTGATGGTCTTGATGGTCTGTATGGTCTATATGGTCTTATGGTCTTTATGGTCTGTATGGTCTTGATGGTCTTGATGGTCTGTATGGTCTGTATGGTCTTGATGGTCTTGATGGTCTGTATGGTCTTGATGGTCTGTATGGTCTTTATGGTCTGTATGGTCTGTATGGTCTTGATGGTCTTGATGGTCTATATGGTCTTGATGGTCTGTATGGTCTTGATGGTCTGTATGGTCTTGATGGTCTGTATGGTCTTTATGGTCTGTATGGTCTGTATGGTCTTGATGGTCTGTATGGTCTTGATGGTCTGTATGGTCTTGATGGTCTGTATGGTCTTGATGGTCTGTATGGTCTGTATGGTCTGTATGGTCTTGATGGTCTTTATGGTCTGTATGGTCTTGTATGGTCTTGATGGTCTGTATGGTCTGTATGGTCTTGATGGTCTGTATGGTCTGTATGGTCTTGATGGTCTGTATGGTCTGTATGGTCTTGATGGTCTGTATGGTCTTGATGGTCTGTATGGTCTGTATGGTCTTGATGGTCTGTATGGTCTTTATGGTCTGTATGGTCTTGATGGTCTGTATGGTCTTGATGGTCTTGATGGTCTGTATGGTCTTGATGGTCTGTATGGTCTTGATGGTCTGTATGGTCTTTATGGTCTGTATGGTCTTATGCTTCATGGAGCTTCTGAAGCTCAGTCACTCTCCCCAGATTTTGACAAAAATGGTTGTGTGTCTGTGTGTGTATCTGTGTGTGGGTGTGTGTGTGTATCTGTGTGTGTGTGTATCGGTGTGTGTGTGTATCTCTCCGTGTGTGCATCTGTGTATGTGTATCTGTGTATGTGTATCTGTGTGTGCATCTGTGTATGTGTATCTGTGTGTGCATCTGTGTATGTGTATCTGTGTATGTGTATCTGTGTATCTGTGTGTGCATCTCTGAGTGTGTATCTGTGTGTGTGTATCTATGTGTGCATCTGTGTATGTGTATCTGTGTATGTGTATCTGTGTGTGCATCTCTGAGTGTGTATCTCTGTGTGTGTACAGCCACCCCTGGGAGACAGTGACCACAGCAGCCATGCAGAAGTATCCGAACCCCATGAACCCAGGAGTGTTTGGGGTCGACGTCCTGCAGCGGAGCATCGACCCCACAGGACGTCTCCACAGCACCAGGCTCCTGAGTACAGAGTGGGGACTGCCTGCTATGGCCAAGTCTGTGAGTGTGTGTCTGTGTGTCTGTGTGTGTGCGTGTGTGTTAGAGACACCAGGTGAGAGAGTAGCTGTGTGTGTGTTTCTGTAGATCATTGTGTGTGTGTTCCTGTAGATCATTGTGTGTGTTGCTGTAGAAGTGTGTCTTTTTAGATCATTGTGTGTGTGTTGCTGTAGATCATTGTGTGTGTGTTTGTAGATCAGTGTGTGTGTTGCTGTAGATCATTCTGGGTGTGTTGCTGTAGATCATTCTGGGTATGTTGCTGTAGATGTGTGTGTGTTGCTGTAGATCATTGTGTGTGTGTTGATGTGTGTGTTTGTAGATCATTGGAGTTACGAGGACCTGCACCTACGTCCAGGAACATTCTGTGGTGGATCCTCAAGAGAAGACCTTTGAACTGCAGTCTACAAACGTGAGCTCCTCCCACTCAGAACCATGTGGATCCAGAACCATGTGGATCCAGAACCATGTGGATCCAGAACCATGTGGATCCAGAACCATGTGGATCCAGACTCTAATAGAACTATGTAACGTTCCTATTTCCTCAGATCTCCTTCACACACCTGGTGTCAGTTGACGAGAAGCTGACGTATAAACCACATCCACAAGACCCTCACAAGTGAGAGTTGTGTGTCTGTCTGTCTGTGTTTGTCTGTGTTTGTGTGTGTGTGTGTGTGTGTCTGTGTCTGTGTGTAACTGCTGGTACAAAATGACCCAAACCCAATGGAATCTATTAAATATAGTTTATTATTGAAATCCTTTGTTCCTTCGGCTGTCAGACTGTACAACAAACAGAAGTATATGAGTTACCATGGAGGCGGGGCTTATGTGCTCTCAGCCAATGCCACGCCTGCAGAGAACACACAGGCCACCAGAGGGCAGCCAAGTACGTTTTGACTCTACACGGTGCGCCATGGCCCAGTTCGTGTGCTTTTCCATCAAAAATAGTACCCCCAGTATGTCCTCAGCGTTGTCAGACCACGTCATTTACATGTGACGTGTAACTAGTACATGCATGGATTTATTATAATATCAGAGCAAGTGTTTAATAGAAAGTTCAGCACAGCACGAGTAGTTTTTTAAAATGCTTTTGTCTTAAAAGGATGACTCAATGGTGCTGACTGCTCTGTACAATCTGAATGGACCTGTAGCAACAGCAGCCTGTGTAGCAGAGGAGGAGGGCTGCATGTCCGAGGATACTGCTAGGCTATACAGTGCCTTGCAAAAGTATTCGGCCCCCATTGAACCTTTCAACATTTCGCCATATTTCAGGCTTCAAACATAGAGATATAAAATGTAAATGTTTTATCATGAATCAACAACAAGTGGGACACAATCGTGAAGTGGAACGAAATTTATTGGATAATTTAAACTTTTTTAACAAATAAAAAACTGAAAAGTGGGGCGTGCAATATTATTCGGCCCCTTGCGCTAATACTTTGTAGCGCCACCTTTTGCTGCAATTACAGCTGCAAGTCGCTTGGGGTATGTCTCTATCAGTTTTGCACATCGAGAGACTGGAATTCGTTCCCATTCTTCCTTGCAAAACAGCTGGAGCTCAGTGAGGTTGGATGGAGAGCGTTTGTGAACAGCAGTCTTCAGCTCTTTCCACAGATTCTGGATTGGATTCAGGTCTGGACTTTGACTTGGCCATTCTAACACCTGGATACGTCTATTTGTGAACCATTCCATTGTAGATTTGGCTTTATGTTTTGGATCATTGTCCTGTTGGAAGATAAATCTCCGTCCCAGTCTCAGGTCTTTTGCAGACTCCAACAGGTTTTCTTCCAGAATGGTCCTGTATTTGGCTCCATCCATCTTCCCATCAATTTTAGCCATCTTCCATGTCCCTGCTGAAGAAAAGCAGGCCCAAAGCATGATGCTGCCACCACCATGTTTGACAGTGGGGATGGTGTGTTCAGGGTGAGGAGCTGTGTTGCTTTTACACCAAACATATCGTTTTGCATTGTGGCCAAAAAGTTCGATTTTGGTTTCATCTGACCAGAGCACCTTCTTCCACATGTTTGGTGTGTCTCCCAGGTGGCTTGTGGCAAACTTTAAACAAGACTTTTTATGGATATCTTTGAGAAATGGCTTTCTTCTTGCCACTCTTCCATAAAGGCCAGATTTGTGCAGTGCACGACTGATTGTTGTCCTATGGACAGACTCTCCCACCTCAGCTGTAGTTATCTGCAGTTCATCCAGAGTGATCATGGGCCTCTTGGCTGCATCTCTGATCAGTCTTCTTGTTTGAGATGAAAGTTTGGAGGGACGGCCGGGTCTTGGTATATTTGCAGTGGTCTGATACTCCTTCCATTTCAATATAATTGCTTGCACAGTGCTCCTTGAGATGTTTAAAGCTTGGGAAATCTTTTTGTATCCAAATCCGACTTTAAACTTCTCCACAACAGTATCTCGGACCTGCCTGGTGTGTTCCTTTGTCTTCATGGTTCTCTCTGTGCTTTAAACAGAACCCTGAGACTATCAAAGAGCAGGTGCATTTATACGGAGACTTGATTACACACAGGTGCATTCTATTTATCATCATCAGTCATTTAGGACAACATTGGATCATTCAAAGATCCTCACTGAACTTCTGGACTGAGTTTGCTGCACTGAAAGTAAAGGGGCCCAATAATATTGCACGCCCCACTTTTCAGTTTTTTATTTGTTAAAAAAGTTTAAATTATCCAATAAATTTTGTTCCACTTCACGATTGTGTCCCACTTGTTGTTGATTCATGACAAAAAATTAAAATGTTATATCTTTATGTTTGAAGCCTGAAATGTGGCGAAATGTTGAAAGGTTCAAGGGGGCCGAATACTTTCGCAAGGTACTGTAGCTAATGCTAGCGCTAGCTCCAGACTCAGCTCACTCACTAACCCTGGATTCCAAAGCTACTACAATACTACACTTAACACATCTATCACTGCCCTCAGAGGAGGATCCAGGGTTTAAACTAGTCATATGGCAACTCGAGCAGTAAAGGACCGAGGGAGAGACAGCGGCAGCCATAGGGGTAGCGAGTTAGCGGCTAGGCTAGGCTAAGCTAGGCTAGTCCGGACTCGGGTCTGGACTACAGCAGACTCCGAGACCAGACAAACAATCGATACCCAAACCTCAGCTACAATAATAATGAATGAAACACAGTCTTGATACAATCACAGATTTATTGAAAACAATAGTAAAGTGCAAAACCAACAGTTTACAAAGTCAAAAGTACGTATGTCTGAGACCAGGTCCAGACCAGGTCCAGACCAGGTCCAGATGAGAATACTCCGGTCACTCATTACTCGTTGGTAATTTCCACACTTGTGGAAAGGGATTCTCATACAAATATACACACGACAACTTAAATACAAGCACAAAACAGAAACACGTGAATACTGCAGATTATACGAGATAAAGCACAGTAGCACAGGAGGACGTTAGCTTAGCTGCTATCGATAGCTACATGAAGCTAAATGTAGCTAGCTCACTGTGTACAACAGACAATCGAGCATTTACACAGTAAATACATTTCAGTGAGAGCTTTAGGGGGTTCGTATCTAACCAGTTATTTCAGGATTACCACAGACTAGTCACAAATCCAGAGCAATCTCCTGAAAACTGTTGAGCCTCGAGCTGCCTTTGAATTCTTTCTTTGGCCTGAAGAGAGGAACGTGTGGACCTCTTCCACCGACCAGGACCAGGACTTTTGGGGATTTCTGTGCAATTCCATTTCTCTGGAGTGAGGAGGACGTAATGTAGCTGAAGCAGAGCCGAGCAGAGCAGCCGGTTTTAAAGATGGCGGTTGAGTTGTTTTTCCCAAAGGGTCAGATGTAGCTTCCAGTGACGACACTCGTTGACCAATCAGTGTAAGGCAGTGGGCCGACGTCACGTCATGGCACGGTTACTATGGGGATGGAACCACGGCTGAGGCAGTACGGAAAAGTACGCAAATCTCCCATTCCATCCACTAGTGGAAACGCAAAATAACCGTGCTGAAGCGTACTGTACTGTACCGTACTGATACTGTGGAAAAGCGGCATAACTGTGTGTGTCTGTAACAGTGTGTTTGTGTGTCCAGGACGGTGCTGACGCAGGAGGCTCTGATCAGTGTGAAAGGAATCAGTCTGAGCAGTTACCTGGAAGGACTGATGGTCAAAACCATCTGCACCAACGCAGGCAAGGTATGATGTCACTCACTCGGACAAACAGGCAAGGTATGATGTCACTCACTCGGACAAACAGGCAAGGTATGATGTCACTCACTCGGACAAACAGGCAAGGTATGATGTCACTCACTCGGACAAACAGGCAAGGTATGATGTCACTCACTCGGACAAACAGGCAAGGTATGATGTCACTCACTCGGACAAACAGGCAAGGTATGATGTCACTCACTCTGACAAACAGGCAAGGTATGATGTCACACTCGGACAAACAGGCAAGGTATGATGTCACACTCTGACAAACAGGCAAGGTATGATGTCACACTCGGACAAACAGGCAAGGTATGATGTCACACTCTGACAAACAGGCAAGGTATGATGTCACACTCGGACAAACAGGCAAGGTATGATGTCACACTCTGACAAACAGGCAAGGTATGATGTCACTCACTCGGACAAACAGGCAAGGTATGATGTCACACTCTGACAAACAGGCAAGGTATGATGTCACTGACAAACAGGCAAGGTATGATGTCACTCACTCGGACAAACAGGCAAGGTATGATGTCACACTGACAAACAGGCAAGGTATGATGTCACTCACGCCTCTCTCTAAAACCGCCCTATAAAGCCTCTCTCTCTAAAGCCGCCCTCTAAATCCTCTGTCTCTAAAGCCTCGCTCTCTTAGGCCTCTCCCTCTAAAGCCGCACTAAAGCCTCTCTCTAAAGCCGCCCTCTAAAGCCTCTCTCTAAAGCCTCTCTCTAAAGCCACCCTCTAAAGCCTCTACTCTAAAGCCTCTCCCTCTAAAGCATCTCCCTCTAAAGCCGCCCTTTAAAGCCTCTCCCTCTAAAGCCTCTCTCTAAAGCGTCTCTCTAAAGCCTCTCCCTCTAAAGCCGCCCTCTAAAGCCTCTCTCTAAAGCCTCTCCCTCTAAAGCCTCTCTCTCTAAAGCCTCTCCCTCTAAATTGTCTCTCTCTAAAGCCTCTCTCTCTAAAGCCTCTCCCTCTAAATTGTCTCTCTCTAAAGCCGCCCTCTAAAGCCTCTCCCTCTAAAGCCTCTCTCTAAAGCCTCTCTAAAGCCGCCCTCTAAAGCCTCTCTCTCTAAAGCCGCCCTCTAAAGCCTCCCTCTAAAGCCGCCCTCTAAAGCCTCTCTCTAAAGCCGCCCTCTAAAGCATCTCTCTAAAGCCGCCCTCTAAAGCCTCTCTCTAAAGCCGCCCTCTAAAGCGTCTCTCTCTAAAGCCGCCCTCTAAAACCTCTCCCTCTAAAGCCGCCCTCAAACGCCTCTATCTAAAGCCGCCCTCTAAAGCCTCTCTCTAAAGCCGCCCTCTAAAGCCGCCCCCTAAAGCCGCCCTCTAAAGCGTCTCTCTCTAAAGCCGCCCTCTAAAGCCTCTCCCTCTAAAGCCTCTCCCTCTAAAGCCGCCCTCAAAAGCCTCTCCCTCTAAAGCCGCCCTCAAAAGCCTCTCCCTCTAAAGCCTCTCCCTCTAAAGCCGCCCTCAAAAGCCTCTCCCTCTAAAGCCGCCCTCAAAAGCCTCCCTCTCCTCAGGGGCGGGAGGCGATGGAGTGGGTGATCCGCAGACTCAACTCTGAGATCGAAGACCTGCGAGGGACGATACGAGCTCCAATGGCGGCCGCTGTGACGGACAAATGACCCGCACCCTCATGAAGATGGACTCTATACAGACACACACACAGACACACTCACACAGACACGCACACACAGACACACTCACAGACACACTCACACAGACACGCACACACAGACACACTCATAGACACACTCACACAGAGACGCACACACAGACACACTCATAGACACACTCACACAGACACGCACACACAGACACGCACACACAGACACACTCACACAGACACACAGACACGCACACACAGACACACTCACACAGACACTCACACAGACACACTCACACAGACACGCACACACAGACACACTCACACAGACACACTCACACAGACACACTCACACAGACACGCACACACAGACACGCACACACAGACACGCACACACAGACACACTCACACAGACACACTCACACAGACACACTCACACAGACACACTCACACAGACACACTCACACAGACACGCACACACAGACACACACACACAGACACACTCACACAGACACACTCACACAGACACGCACACACAGAAACGCACACACAGACACACACACAGACACCTCTGATGCCAAGGCTTCACACTGTGCCTGATGAAACAGTTTGTTGCTTCACATTAAAACATTCACTCATTAACAGCTGATGAACAAGTGAACCCTGTGGGACTGTCAGATGGTAGAATGAGGACTGGATAAATGTATGATATATTATTAAAACATATATTAGCTGTTAATGAGTGAGGGCTGAACTCTGGTCTATGTTCTTGTTTTGATCCCAGTCCTGGTAGTAATGAACATGAAGACCTGTGGCTAATGTTAAAATGTGAATAGCTCCAGTCCTGGTCGTAGCTAAACATGAACATGAAGACCCGTGGCTAATGTTAAAATGTGAATGGCTCCAGTCCTGGTCGTAACTAAACATGAACATGAAGACCCGTGGCTAATGTTAAAGTGTGAATGGCTCCAGTCCTGGTCGTAACTAAACATGAACATGAAGACCCGTGGCTAATGTTAAAGTGTGAATGGCTCCAGTCCTGGTCGTAACTAAACATGAACATGAAGACCCGTGGCTAATGTTAAAGTGTGAATGGCTCCAGTCCTGGTAGTAACTAGGCATGAACATGAAGACCCGTGGCCACAGTAGTTGGACTTCAAACTAAGGAAAGCATCCGTCACATTCCACCAACTGTATTTTCAAACAGTCACAAAACAACCACAGTAAACGTCCTGAAGCCCTTTTGGTCTTCAGTCCAAAGTTCATTTGAAACACTGTGAAGAGTTTAGAAGCATCTAAATCAGGGAGCCCAGTCTGAGCGGTTGGGCTGAAGACTTCACTGCAGTCAAGACTTGCAAGCTGCAATCATAGACTGACACAGAACCAGGACCTGAACTAGGACCAGGACCTGAACCAGGACATGAACCAGGACCTGAACTTTTGGACGGTTTGTAGCCGAGAGTGAAGCTGAAGATCAGGTTTAAATCTGAGTCCACGGAGCTCCACCAGGAAAAGGTCCTGGTCCTCTCCAGGTCCTGGTCCTCTCCAGGTCCCGGTCCTCTCCAGGTCCCGATCCTCTCCAGGTCCCGAGCCTCTCCAGGTCCCGGGCCTCTCCAGGTCCCGGCCCTCTCCAGGTCCCGGACCTCTCCAGGTCCCGGACCTCTCCAGGTCCCGGCCCTCTCCAGGTCCCGGGCCTCTCCAGGTCCCGGCCCTCTCCAGGTCCCGGACCTCTCCAGGTCCCGGACCTCTCCAGGTCCCGGCCCTCTCCAGGTCCCGATCCTCTCCAGGTCCCGGGTCTCTCCAGGTGGAGAGGTCCTTCCTCTAGTGGAGGAGTTCAAGTATCTAGGGGTCTTGTTCTCAGTGAGGGATTAGCCTAGACTGCTGCGACCCCGCGACCCGGCAAAGGATGAAGTGGAAGAAAATGGATGGAGTTTCCAGGTAGAAGCCTCTCTTGAAGACCTTGGTTTGAGAATATTTCTAACAATGCACTGGTCTTTATGGTCATGTGACCTGCGGCGTGTCCTAACCACGGCCCACAATCCCACACAAACTGTCCCTTTTGTCTTGAACCACCGTTTATTGAGTCTTAAACGGACGTGCAGCTGTTTCAATAAAATCAATAAAGTTTGTGGGCAGAGCTATGGGCGGAGCTTTGGACAGGTCTGTGTTTGACTGAGATGAACTGTAAACATTCTTCTTACACCGAGACTGAGACAAACCAGACTTTACTAAAGACATTCAAGATGTTAAAGATGTTATTCTACTCTACTCTACTCTACCCTACCCTACTCTACCCTACCCTAACCTACTCTACCCTACTCTACTCTACTCTACCCTACTCTACTCTACTCGTTTGGCAAGAGCTCTGGTGTGTGTCGTCTCTGTCTGGCGCACACCGGGGTAGTCTTGCACAGTTTTTCCAATGTGGTTTTACTGCAAATGGCAAATAAATGAATCTGAATCTGATCTGAATCTACTGTCCTCTACCCTACTCTACCCTACTCTACTCTACTCTACCCTACCCTACTCTACCCTACTCTACTCTACTCTACTCTACTCTACTGTCCTCTACTCTACTCTACCCTACCCTACTCTACTCTACTCTACCCTACTCTACTCTACTCTACTGTCCTCTACCCTACTCTACTGTCCTCTACCCTACCCTACTCTACTCTACCCTACTCTACTCTACTGTCCTCTACTCTACTCTACCCTACCCTACTCTACTCTACTGTCCTCTACCCTACTCTACTGTCCTCTACTCTACCCTACCCTACTCTACCCTACCCTACCCTACTCTACTCTACTCTACTGTCCTCTACTCTACTCTACCCTACCCTACTCTACTCTACTCTACTCTACTGTCCTCTACTCTACTCTACCCTACCCTACCCTACTCTACTCTACCCTACCCTACTCTACTCTACTCTACTGTCCTCTACTCTACTCTACCCTACCCTACTCTACTCTACTGTCCTCTACCCTAATCTACTGTCCTCTACCCTACCCTACTCTACTCTACTCTACTGTACTCTACCCTACCCTACTCTACTCTACCCTACCCTACTCTACTCTACTCTACTGTCCTCTACCCTACCCTACTCTACCCTACTCTACTCTACTGTCCTCTACCCTACTCTACTCTAGTGCCCTCTACCCTACCCTACTCTACTCTACTCTACTCTACTGTCCTCTACCCTACCCTACTCTACTCTACTGTCCTCTACACTACCCTACTCTACTCTACTCTACTGTCCTCTACCCTACTCTACTCTACTGTCCTCTATTCTACTCTACTGTCCTCTACCCTACCCTACTCTACTCTACTCTACTGTCCTCTACCCTACCCTACTCTACTCTACTGTCCTCTACCCTACTCTACTCTACTTTCCTCTACCCTACTCTACTCTACTGTCCTCTATCCTACTCTACTCTACTGTCCTCTACTCTACCCTACCCTACCCTACCCTACTGTCCTCTACCCTACTCTACTCTACTGTCCTCTACTCTACCCTACTCTACTGTCCTCTACCTTACTCTACCCTACCCTACTCTACTCTACTGTCCTCTACCCTACTCTACTCTACTGTCCTCTACCCTACTCTACTCTACTGTCCTCTACCCTACTCTACTCTACTGTTCTCTACCCTACTCTACTCTACTGTCCTCTACCCTACTCTACTCTACTGTCCTCTACCCTACCCTACCCTACTCTACTCTACCCTACCCTACCCTACTCTACTGTCCTCTACCCTACTCTACTCTACTCTACCCTACCCTACTCTACCCTACCCTACTCTACTCTACTCTACTGTCCTCTACTCTACCCTACTCTACTCTACTCTACCCTACCCTACTCTACCCTACCCTACTCTACTCTACTCTACTGTCCTCTACTCCACCCTACTCTACTCTACCCTACCCTATCTACTCTACTCTACCCTACCCTACTCTACCCTACCCTACCCTACCCTACTCTACTCTACTGTCCTCTACTCCACTCTACTCTACTCTACCCTACCCTACCCTACCCTACTCTACTCTACTGTCCTCTACTCTACCCTACTCTACCCTACCCTACCCTACCCTACCCTACTCTACTCTACTGTCCTCTACTCTACCCTACTCTACCCTACCCTACCCTACCCTACTCTACCCTACCCTACTCTACTCTACTGTCCTCTACTCCACCCTACCCTACCCTGTTGAATAGGTTTGTCGATGTTCCAGCCTCAGTAGAACAGAACCATGTGTAAATAGCTCATATTTATATTTTTGTTACATTCCACGAATGTAAAAAGAAATGAAAAGAGTGAAATGTTTCAAATAAAGGTTCATGGTTTCATGAGAGCGTTGTTTATTTTATGGTATAAACGTGTTCAGGATTTAAAGCTGAGGTCCCTAACTTTTGTTTTATATCATCACATCCATCTGAAAAAGAGTCGTAAAACTGTCTTTGTCTTATTAGAAAGAGCCCTGGGGGTCACTATCTGACCCTTTGGGCTGAGAGCTGATTGGCTGAGAGCTGGTTTAGAGCCAGAACCAGAGGCTTCCATTGTTGTGGTTGCAAATGAGTCCAATGGAGAAAATGTTTCCTAATCTCAAACCTTTATCAAAGTGTTTCATCTCACATCTTTACATCAAAGAGAGGACCACCCTCAATCAGCCAATCAGCTCAAAGAGTCAAATAGTGACTCCCTAAGGTCCCTTACAGAATGTGTAAGTAATGTTTATTTATTTAGCACATTTTACAGAACAAGGTCACCAAAAGCACTTTCCAATGTTCAGATATTGCTTCTGCAGAAGACCTGACTTTCACTGAGAGAAGATCAGATCAGCTGTGGAAAAGCATCCACAAACTCCCTGAAACCATTGTTAGATATTTATGGTATCACTGTTACTGACAGTTTAGACTTAATGGTACCACTGTTACTGACAGTTTAGACTTAATGGTACCACTGTTACTGACAGTTTAGACTTAATGGTACCACTGTTACTGACAGTTTAGACTTAATGGTA